TAGTATAGAAAACTAAATTTTAAAGCCCAGATTAAATCGAAAGCTCTTCCTACCTACTAGTCGCAAATTACAAACCAAGTACTTAATGATACAGTAGGTGTTTGTTTGCCAGAGGCTTCATGCTTTAACACATTGGAGACTGGCTGTGCAATTTTGTTTTCATTTTTTAATTTGCTGCTGGTGGGTGAGTTAAGGTTTTGATCTAATCAAACCATAAACTCAGAAATGTATCACTGCAATTTAATTAGATTGACAAGGTTTTGCACCTAAGGCCTGTACCAAGGAAAAATCTGGAAAAAATAAAAGGTAAGTAGAATCAGATTTGGGTACTAAATTAGAAAGGCAGCTTTCTCCAGCTTGCTGCTGTATACTATTCATACAACAGACTCCTTCAAAAAAGCATAAAAAATGTACACATAAAACAAAGCAGTTCACATTTAATAGCAGTAGACTACTCTCCTATGAAACTGTTTTGCAGAAAACAAAACATCAGCTTTTTTCCAGTGTCCACCTAAGTCAAATCTTATTAAACTGAGAATCAATTACCACAAAAGTAATTGACATAAGCTTCGGATTATTTTTCTCCCAAGCCTGTGACTATAAGGGTTATCACTTCACATTCTTCAGAAAAAAAGGTCTTATGGATGTATTTGCAGAGCACATCAGATAAAATCGCAAGTATTGATTATTGACTGGCTTTGCTTGTTGATGAAGAACAGGAATGGTCCCTGAAATTCTGCAGATAAACCAAAGGTATTTTTCTTAACTAAGTTAGAAGCAAATACACTTATAATGATTAGTGCTATTTTGATGTTGCAGATACTGGACACACAGTATATGCTTTCATATCAGTTCATGGTCACTGGAAATATTTTCCTTGCAAACCAACCATTTCATGCCTCATTTAGAAAACTGGGTAAAATTTACTCACAGGGTCTCAGCTGGTTTTGCGTAAAATAAGAATGTAAAATAAGTAGCATAGTGCTCTGTACTGTGCTTGATGTTGACAACTTCATCCTTTTACTTTCAATCAGTTGCTTGTATTTTCTTAAAGAAAAGCATTAAATGGATTGCGTCTGGACTCAGAAGAGGTACTGTACATGTCAATCATCTAGTGCCATTAAGCTAAAGTGTATTAAGTTTGCCTTATGGTTTCAGGTGATGTCTAAAAATACAGCTGTATTATACAGCAGTATAATGCACTATGTTTCTGTTAGGTTCAATGACCAGAACCATTTAGGAGCACAGAGACCCAGACAAGTCAAAGACGGATTCCACAATAGAAGACATACTCCACACTCTTTAACAGCAGTCAAAGATCCTAATTATATCAAAAGAACGATCAGGATTATTTCTGGGGCTGTAAAGCTTAGTGGCCGCTGAAGTGCTCAGGTATGACGTACCTCCTGCTTTGCTGGATTTTCCGTTCTCCTTTCGTCCAGATAATGCTTGGCTTGGGAGATGCTTGGGGTTTACACTCCAGCAATATGTCTTTACCCACAGTACCCATAACTGTTTGCCTCGCAGGGCCTGGCTCAAAGCTGGGAGCTGCGGCTGTTAAAAGCAACACATGCACAGCACATGCAAAAAGTGTTAAATCCAGTTATGAATTCCATACAATATCATCATTCGAACCTGGAAGTGAAACTTTTACTTCCCATCTGTTATTGAACCTGGGCTCACAGAGACGTACAGACTCAATAACAGATGGAGTGTAATCATTACTTCTTTAGACACAGAATAGGGTGCCTGATTACATTTTTGTGTGAAAATGTACTTCTTTTCATTGCATTTTAAGAAAGGAGAAACACCAAGAACACCACGGACCAAAGAAGATTGTTATCAATTCAAGTAAAATAATTTTAAAGTGGGCAAGGTTATTTATACTGGATGTCAGCGATTCAGTAAATATACATACTGAAATGAAAAAAGGCTAAACCATGTCTCTTAGACCTAATACAGCATTAGAAGATTGTGTTTAATAATATAATTTTAAATAAAGAATTGATTCATTAATAATATGAATACTATTAGTAATACTTGCTTGCATAGATATAGTTGTTTTAGGAGCTTTACAAGTATATGAGAGCTTAACTAATTATAAGGTAATATGAAAAAGTCAAAAGGAGGTACTGTAAGAATAGCATATAAAATAATATAATTAATATGTGCACCAATTCTTTGTGCAGTGCTGTGATGTTGCCTATATGGTTGCAAGCATTCTAAGTATAACATTTTCGATTCTGTAACTAAAGAGAGTCTGTTACTGTATAAGCAGAGTGGTTACCTAACCTTCCTGGAGAAAACCGCTATTCCTTTATCTAGAGAAATGTTACTGAAAAATCAATTTAAAAAAGTAAAAGCAAAACTTAGTTTTTCTATATACAGTTACATTTATATTGCATATTCTAGGGTATGAAGCGTTATAGTAATTGAATTTGAAAAGTATATGGAAATGCAGTTTTCTATATTAGTGTTGTTGTTTTTTTTACTTGCAAACTACAAGAGGCTAAATGAAATGAAATGGTTCATTACAGACTGGCAAAGAAAAATTAAACAACGAGACACTGCCATTTATTTCTTAGCACGCTTAAGTGAATCCAAGTAATTTTATGTGAAGGCATTCATTCAGCTTTTATTGCTCTGATTAGTTGCTTATTTGAAAAATAAATAACAATAATACAGTGGTGTTATTCTGCCTTTGAATTAATTTTCAAGGGCATTCCTTTCAGTTTTTTGTTCTCAATAAGTAGGAGGCATCATTATGTGCCTTATACATGAATATATGTTTTTTACCCAGACTTTTCTGCAATCACAAATCAACAAAATGCAAGGGCAACTGAACATCATTTATGCTGCATCAAAAAGTCTTGAAACAACCTATGACATGCAGTCAAAACTGAATTCACTGTGCATTTCAAGCATAGACGTTTGAGGACTCAGTTATGCCACAAGGCCTTGTCAGTCCTGGTTAGTCAAAGTTGAGTGATGTTTTCTAGAGGTCATTAACAAGTATTGCATTTTCAGTTAACAACAACCATGTTTCATAATTATAAAACAGACACAACTCCTTAAGCAAATTAAGTAATGATTAATCATTATGTTACTACAGGATATACCATTTAACAACGCTATAACAATGTGCATATTTAGAAATGCAAATGTATGACTTTTTAAATTTTTAAAAAAAAACATAAGAACATAAAACAGTTACGAATAAGGCCATTTAGCCCAACTAATTTGTTTGGTAGTTGAACCAAGATGTTGTAGTGTCTTGAAGGAAGCCAGTGTGTAGGATTCAATATAATATAATACAGACCAAATACTGTATATTGTAAAAACAATTCCAGAGGTTTTGGCAAAAAAAACATGGTTGTTTATATTTGAGGAATGTATTTGTTTGTGTGACCCTATAAGTGCAATAAGGTATAGTAATATGTTTCTGAATGTCTACATACAAACAAGTACAAGTGCAGTATAATAATTCCTTTATGAATATCTATTTCATCACACCCAATGTTACAGTGTCAAATGTGTATATCTATGAAATGAAAATGATAAAATTCAACTTGTATATATATATAACTTATTTCTTAAATAATGTTTTTTATTTGTTGACTTATTTGGAAGTCATATTAATTGGTTCAATTTGGATATTTTAAGACAAGCTCTTTGAAGGAGTACTGTAATGCAATCAAGTGTGAGTTATAAAAGGATCAATGTGTAATGTGAATATGATCAAATTCAACTTTTTCTGCTGATTTGTGTTTTCAAATAAGCTGCGGTGCAGTAGAAAATGCTATTGTAATATAGACATCAGTAGTCAGCTCAGAGGGCTAAATTACTGGAGACTCAAATCCTTCACCTCTGAAGGTCTGTTGTCATGTACTGTATGGCTACAGTGACAGAGAGGCCAGAAGTTGTGGCTAAGCCTCCAGCAAATTCCATTCATGTCTCCATCTTGAAATAACCATGTGACTTGGCATTACATTAAATCCTCTGCATATTTTAGTCGTTGCAGAGGTCAAAGTTTTAAAAGAACTAAGAATGGTCATTCACTCTGTGGTAGGGATAACATTGAAAACAATCATTTATCTTAATGTGGATGAAACTTAGTAAAATTCTATCCTTTTTGGTAGACAAAACTGGAACTCCACTTTATAAATGTATTTAAAATGTACATAGCAAAAGAACACACACTAATTTTGGTTGTGGGACCATAATAACGGTATGCTTGGTATGGTACGTTTAATCTTTGGAACTGATTTTTTTACAGTATCTCAGTAAAGTGCAATTGTATGCGTATTTATTTATGTGTATTTTTAGGAGAGGAAAAAATGCAATTAAATCTTTCTTATCTTGTGTGGCTAACACCTGTCACAGGTGTGTGTGGAAGCTACACTGATGTAAAGTCCTAAAGTGACATATGTAAAATCTGTAGTTCAAGTTAATTTGGCAAAAACCCAATCAAGTGATTTACAGTATTCTTTTTTAATTTGGATGATTTTAATGATGCTGAATTAATAAAGGTAAAAACATTTGCCAAGCTGTTGATTGTTTTAGTCTTATTGAAAAAATAATATGTACCTTTCACCCCTCCTGAAAATCTAATAAAAATCAAGCATTAAAATAATTATGATGTATTTGCTACTTACCAGTACAATGAGTGTAGATATTGTTTACATTTCAGACTGTTAAAAATCTTATCAACAATAAAAGGAGTTTATAACCCCCCCGCAAACAAATATTTTCAAGGACAGAGACGACTGTATTGACTAAGATATCTGTCAGAAAAATTAAAATGACAAGGAGAGAAACGAACAGAGTAAATCCGTAGGCTTGTGTATTACCGGAAGCGATGTTTATGGCACAATCTTTTACGCTTGCTTAAGAGCGTGCTTTGCTCATCAGATGTGGAGCCACAGGAATCATATATATATATACAGTAGCTGTTTTTACTAATCTCCTGCACTGTTTCCTTTCTTTCCCCTTAGTTTTCATGCTTCAGTTCTTTACCCTAAAGCACACCCCCTGCCTCTTAATTTGTCCTTCTCATGGATCTATAACCAAAACTCAGAATTCCCCTCTAGTCTATGATGCCCTATGCAAGGAGACATCTCATTAAAAGTCTTATTCTTTAATTCTATTAGCAATACACAGTGGCACTTTGGTTACAAGACGAATGATGGATCAGAAAATCAGCAGACCCATGGTTTTGTTCAGCTGTCTCTGAATTCTTTTATCCTCCTTTGCTTTCAGCCACACAAGGCACACAGGGGTGAGTAACTCCTTTTTTATATGCATGAAACAAACAGCTGATGACTCGTTCAACAACACCTAGCAACATAAAAAACATGAAGTCTAAATGGTCTGTTGTATCAGCAATGCTTTATTCTAAACAGGCTAGGTGCACTGCTTTAATAGCATAAGCAATTTGAGTTAGGTACAGAATTGGATTAACAAGTAGTGTCTGAAAAACATGCAAAAGTGGATGGTCAATCCCTTAAACCTGATCGACAATAATAAATGCGAATCAATTAGTTTGCGATGTATACAATGACTTGACCATATCTGAGACTCTTACCACTTGGAATGAAGGTAATCTAGGAGAATCCAAGAGAGTCACTTACAATATGCAAGAACACTAAGAACAAATACTAGTCACAGATATAGCCTCACAAAACAACTGAGATAGCAGCCCTATTTATTCTTCCTTTACATTCTGTCCTCTGTGTTTTGAAAACTTATCATTAGGACTAAATTCAAGTTTAGGAGAGGATCAATGCTCACAATGGTCTTGAAATACGAGTTTCCATGATCAGAAAAAAAAAGATGAGCCATTGATTAAAAAAAATATGTTAGTCAATGTTGTATATTATTTCTTTTTGAATCAGATGCTTTCTCTTTTACAACATTTGGAGAGACAGTGGTTAGAAAATTAACATATATGCCTTTTCGTTCAAAAGCGAATATTAGAAAAATACCTAGAATTTTCAGCTCTGCACTAGAGTAAATGGCTCCATATTTGTTCTCCGCAATGCACTGGTACATCCCAGCATCAGACTGGTTGACATTCCGAATAATCAGTTCTCCATTAACCATCTCCATTCTGCTCTGTAACAAAATGAAAACACGTCTCGTCATTCGTTAAAATTTCAACACCATTCGCAAAATTAGATTTTTATTTTTAACTCGGTTCAGAAGTATTTTCATGTGGTTCTCTTCTGGTCCACATACTGTATATGTATACCCTTTGCCTGATCCATAGTTATTCAGGAATTATTAAACATGAAAGAAATAATGTACTTTATTAACTTGTTTTCCTGTGTCTTCGCATGTACAGTATGTTTACACAACACTACTCCTAGCAGGGCCCAGTTAAGTTGTCCTAGTAGTGATTTAACTAATAAGATACAAAGTGCCAGTAATTATTGCTATGTCTCCCTTGGTGTTTGACAAGTCTGTAATGTGCAATAGAGCTGATGAGCACTGTAATGGAAACTGAATTTACCTGTATAGACAAAGGAATTCCATTGTGTAGCCAGCGGTAAGTGGGTCGTGGCTTTCCTGTGGCCTTGCACTCCCACTGGAGCTGCTCTCCACTGTCCAGCTGGGTGTCATTAATCATCCGGATCCACTGGGGATAAGCTAGCAAAGAAATCCAATAAAAGTCCTTTATCAGCTAAGGTCGCAGACTCTGCTTACCTGACTGGGACCTTGGATTTTTAAACAGGCATTCGCGATTTAAGCACAATTTCAAAATATCAAACACAAAACACACTACTGCGTTCTTCCACAATATAGCGTACAGCAGAAAATTCATTTAGTCTTGGTTTGCATTGTCATTTTACATCAACTTTGGCAATATGTGGTTCAGCATTTTGTTAGCAGAACAGTACCTGTGCATTTTTCATTTCAGATTTTTTCAGAAGACAATATGCACCTCGTAATGAGGTTACCGCTGAGGAGATTCACACTGCCGAAGCTTAGCAGTGCAATGGAAATGGAAATGCAAGCTTCCATTTTAAATCTAGCTGAAAAATGAGTGAATAAATATTCCTTAATTTGGATTAGATTTACAAATAAATATGATGCAAGGTTTAAAGTAATATCACTAGCTGTTTATACCACATAAGTGCTAATGAGGTGATTCTAAATATTTAGAATTTTGATATTATTATGAAAATGTGTATCTGTGACTTATCTGCTTCATGCAACAGGCAGATATTGGCATGAATGTGCAATCCCATACTTAACAAGACTGACAGGCTGGTACTCAAAAGCAGGTGTAAAGCTTGTATTCCATTGACATTTCCATTCCACAGAGGTCACCTCTGACGGTAATAGCAGAACATTACATGATGGAACAAAAATTTTATTACAGTAGTTCACTTCAGAACCTCTTTGGGGATGATAATGGAAATCCATTACAGCTTGAAATGACGATAGGAATCCAGGTATCTTTTTATTTTCTAAATAAATGCAGTTTAGTTATTTATGTTGGAAACTTTTTTTTTTATCTAGACAAGTGGACACAAAACATCTTGTCATATAACCAAAACTCTGGACAAGCAATGTTGCTACATTGATTAAAAGTAAGAATTCAGCTCTGACAGTGGATACCTGTTAAAATTATTGTACGTGGGATGGCAGTAATGAACAATTTTCAAATCATATTTAATAATTTAGCTTTTTTCCACTTTTGTCCCCAGTTCATCCAGTCTGCTCTTACAGAGAGAAGGATGACTGATGTAACCTTCAGCAAAAGCTGAATCCATTTTAATTATTGCCCTTGCCTGTGATAAAAACCTCTGTCCGCCTGATATCAAAACATAATATCCTAAGGCACGAGTGAACTAGTTAAATAATTAGTGTGAATGGCCTTGGAATGAAAGTCTGCTGTAGGTATATGATCTAAATCAGGTTTCAGTCTGTCAGTATTATAAAACAAAATAAATATATGTATAGAGAGCCCTGTGTAGAATCCAATTTACATAGGTCACTCTGGTCTGTGAACCCTCATTATGAAAAGGGTCTTCATAATAGTAATCAAACTACATGAAAACTATAAAATGAAATCATTATACTAAAGGCAGCATGCAATCAGTGAAAAGCCACAAGATTTGCATGCACTATAAAAAGGGTGGTTGGATAAGAACTCAGCAATATAAACCACACACCCTGTATTCCTGACAGGGAACTGTGAACCCACTGCTGACATTTTTTTTACTCCACCTGAATTTTTTCTGTTTTTGCTACTCCCTCAGCTTGTGGTTCCATATGATTTAACAATGCATTGTCATATATAAGATGTCTAATCACATTCATCCATCAATTAGAGAAAAGAGGTCTCAGTTGCTAATATTGGCAGAAACACAACATACAACAATAAGATAAATTAAGACAATAGGCAGTGATCAGAAGAGGTTGCATTATAAAGATGACAGAACTAAGAGGGACAGATTCAAATCTGTTCAAGACAGAAAACTGATGATATACAGTATGAGAGTTGATATAAAGAGGGATGAGAGTACACAGCCTCAGTTAACAAAATACATCTGAAATAAGGCAGGATTGACATACTGTTTTGTGGTATTGATATACCCTCTGATTGCATGGAATAGACAATATTTATTAAGTTACTGGGATCTCTCTTCATAAAGTTCTAAGAATAGATCATCCCTTTTGATGATCCCTGAAACTCTCAGAGCTTCTGTTTTTCTGGAAAAAGTTCTCAATAAAAACAAGGAATCACAACATTTGTCTTAAAAGGAAAGCAATATTCTGTTGAGTGTGACAGGAAAATACACACTTCATCCTGAGAGTTGGCACAATCTTTTAGAATGGACAACAGCTGAGCCGTGGATACAGGATGGCTATCCTGTAATGTCAGAAACACATCCTCACCAAAGGTGACAGTGAGACGGGGGTCAGGAAAAATACAGGGAAATGAAAAGAACAAAAATAAAAAAAACGTTTTATAGGGTGTCAGGTAGTTTAGTACTTCTACCCATAGGTAAAATAGATATTGAAACATATACATGACTGTTCACAGTCACAATTTCCAGTCTAATCAGGGGGCAGAAACTTTAATCACCCCCTAAGATTTCTGAAGAGTTATAGAGAGAAAACCAGTAGTGTCTTATTTTGTGTCACCACTTCTGTCTTTACAACGTTTTGATTAGATGGGGTGAAATTCATCAAGCTTGAGCCCCACTCTTCTCACTTCAACCGAGTTCAACTAATTATTGTCACTAAAACATATCAAGATGGGATCTCGTGTACTTACTGTTTAATTCACAAGCAAGGTGAAAGCAACTGATTGCATATTACTAGTACAATTACAATTGATTTAACAAAAAAAGTAAAGTAAATGGTTTACAATTTACTGTATTTAAGATAAGATCACTTTATTGGCCATATTGTATACAATGTCTTGTATTAGGAATGTGTCTTTTCGCAAACTCCAACTTGCTCTCCATGAGACACACAGACAGGGAGAGAGAAGCTTGGGGTTAGAGCGCAGGGTCAGCCATTTATTTGGCACCCCTGGGGTTAAGGGCCTTGTTTAGGGGCCCAACGGAGTAGGATTCCTCTGCCGGCCACAAGATATGAACCTGCAACCTTCCAGCCACAGGCGGAGATCTGTAGCCACAGTGCCACTGCACCGCCGTGCAATACAGTGCAATGCCTTGAAATAACTAAATAAAAAGTAACTCAGGTAATGGATTTCCTTTTTTAAAAATAGCAGTGTACTGTATATACACTTACTGTACACCTGGAGCTGACCCCGAAAAGCATTCCCTCCTCTGGAGTTCTCAGCTTTGCATTCATAGGTCCCAGAATCCTCCAGCTGAATGTTGGGAATCTCCAGAACAGCCTGTGATTTCCGCAGCCGTGCTTTTTTAGGGATGTTGCCATTCAGCTTTCTCCATGTAATTGTGGGGACTGGACTGAGAAAAAAGTGGTCCAGTGTGAGAAACTGAACATCAGCTAATGGATGCAATAAGCCACATGAAAATAGTAAAAGCAGTTGTACTTCGTTATATCGCTAGGCATTACTAACAAAGTGGGTCATAATGGAAACACAGATTCATTTAAAGGTAATTGAACAATGGAATGATTCTGTTCATTGCCTGTTATTTAGATTTCTGCTGTGAAGCTGTTTTTAACTTAGCTGTAGCAGAAGACAAGGTTTTAAATACATCCAATGTCAGGCACGGACGGTGACATCTGAACATATTTGCTTGGCAGGGCTGTTACAATATATTATTGACAGTATACATTTCAGGAAGAAAGAGGCTTTGAAACTTCAAAATGAAAGTTTCTCAGTCTCTGCAGCAACCGAAAAACAGTAATTAACTATTTCTGCTAAAAGAGTGGCCTACTTTCAGTTTTTTTTACATCTTCTCAAAATACTGGTAAGGTTTCTCCTGTAGGAGAAACAAAAACAGGAAGAAAAGTATTTAAAGAAAACAATTCAATGAGAACAGATTTCTGACACTTTAAATTAAATTAAATTAAATTAAAAACAAACCTCTCAACGGATTTGTTACTGAATCACTATCATCCTTTATTTAACCATATAAGCCAGTTGAAAACCAACTCACATTGGCAATGACAACCTGAACAAGTGCCTTACATCATTATTGAACCGAAAAAGCAGTGAAAGAAAAGAAAAATCAATATAAATAACATAACGGTACGTTAGTGTTAACAAGTGCCAGTGTCAAGCATTAAACATTTAGTCCTACGACTGAAAACGCCCTTTGATACACATTTGGATAGTTTCAGCTCATTCTGCAAATTGTTTCTCGCAATGTCAGAGGCAAATTAAAATGATCCACTCAGCTGCTCTACTTGATAAAAGCATCTTAAATCATCGGACAGTACAGAGAACTACAATAAATGTAGGTGTTTTGCCAATTAAAGAGTGTGTACACCTAGAGGTGTAGATGAAACGTGATTTGTAGTGATAAGGAAACCCAAACCTAGACTGATATTAGCTTGTAATTTATTAATATGAGTTTATAAAGACAAAAACACTTTCAACTTTATTGCTTGTAGTGGCAGCAGCAGAGCTATCCACCTGATCAGATTCTGACTGATCTTGTCAGTTGTCAGAAGCTAAGCAAGGCTGAGCTTGGTTTGTACTGAAATAGGAGACCTCAAAAGAGAACCAGGTTGTTACAGCAAGCAGTGTTGGTGGCCCAGTTGGTAGCACCCTTTCCCTATGAACTGCAGTTTTCAAACTTGTACCCCAGTAGGGTGAGCAGTGACTCTGTGACTTCCGGATCTGTTATTAAACTGAAGTACTGACTACTTGTTCAATAAAGATCCCAAGATAGTCGGGTTGCTATTCACTGTTTTGTGTCCAAACTTCTTCCAGGGGTTTTGGAATCCTGTCTACCTAAGGCGCAATCCTTGATTCAGTTGGTGAAGCAATTTCTCAGTTCTTTGCCAACTATTTGCTATGGACTGCTGGTGCACATTGACCAGGTTGGTGTGTGACCGTCTGGTTCGTCCCTCACTACCTGGGCGCAAACTCAGGTCTCCGTGTCACGCAACAGAGAACCGGCCGGCGGAGCTAAACGAGACCTCCCCCGGCCCAGGCGGCTGAGGTCCCTGTTATATGTAGGGAGGGCAGTGACGTCACCGCGCTTCAACCAGCACTGCAACCTACACGTGCAACACTTAAATAAAAATAAAATAAAATGTAAAAAAAATGCTTTTCCCTCCTGTATATAAGGAATTCTGGAATCATTTGCAATGAAAGGCTGTTATTATTATTATTTTTATTATTACAGACAGAATTTAGTTTTAGCACAGTTTTTCAGAAAATGCAGATCACAGTTGAAGTGTGCAATTCACCATCTGAGAATAAAATGGTGTTCTCAGTACAGAAGTGGATATGCAAGTTATCAGTTGTCTGTGCTACTTTGATAATATTGATGGGGAAAAGTGTAGGCCACTTCACAGAACCATGGTGGACTCCTTTAATAACTGGAAAAGATCTGAAACAAATCTGTCCATTTTTACACATTGCATATGGTTTTGTATGTAATTCTGAAACCATGTGAGGGAATTCAAATCAATATTATGCAGCCTTTTCAGAAGATCCTAGTGTTCCACAGCATCAAAAGCCTTAGATAAATCTATAACTGTACCGTAGCCGTACAAATGTGATTTTAGTTGAGAGCTATGATAACAAAGATAAAAATATTTAAGGCTGCTGTTAACACATTCATGCTCAGGATCTTTTGGACTGCAGTTTTGGTTAAGCGTTTATTAATTTTTCATTTCCATCTTGGAAAGAAAAAATGAACTGTATATGGGTCTACAACAGTTAGGGTCTGACTTATCAACCACTTTCAAAAGAGGCAAATTAAATATGGGCTTGCAGTCTATTGAGATTTCAACAGTTTTAAAAGAGAGATTGAATAAGTGAGTCAGTGGATTATGGTGATAATAGAAGTAAAATCACCAGGCGTTTCTTGAATGTGAAAGTGGATTCATCATAGTAAGTGAAATACGTACATTAATAGATTAAGTTATATTCTTCTCCAACCCCTAGAGATAAACAGGAAGTCCTTAATGCCACCTTGCAGGATAATAAAGTAACAACAGTGCCATCTTCTTTGAGAGCTTCTTATTTCAGGAATACAATGATTCATGATTTCTGCTACCACATATTGGAAAATGGCCATTTTCACATGCGTGCCAGTGAGAGGTATAAGATGCATTATTACATATTTAATAGTGTATATTAAGCATATCGAGGCAGTGAAACTAACAATGAAAATGTCAATGGTTGTGTTTTGTCTCCCCATCTTGACATATATCTATTTTTGAACAGCACAATGATAATTTAATCCTGTCACATGTGTTGTACCTGAAAAAATCAACTTCCCAAAGAGATGGTGTTTGTCTAGAGTTTGCATAGGCTCTGACTGAGCTTTGCCTAATAGGTTTCCTAAAGAGGAAAACAAGACATGTATATAGCAAAAAACCTTCCTTTAACAGATCATGTATCCAGCTCTAACTAATATCCGTTTGTTTTCTTCAGTTCAGTATTCAAGATGACATTGATGTGAAAACAATTCTGTGTATAGTGCGCCGAGCCTCATTGCAGTTAGAGACAGAATCTCCATTACCCTTAATCCTGACTCAGATTAACAGCTGGTATATTTAGAACAACCCTTCAAGGTTAGAAAAAAGAACGTGACACATGTTTTACTAGGGGAAATCTTACTAAAGTGTTACCAAGGACATTCTGGCTAAATTAAAAATAAATTAATGTAAAATGTTATATTTCAAAGGCAATTATCTCTTAGGATAGATTAGTATTCAGTAAACTTGTGTATTTCAAATGATTTGATGTTTGGGACAAAGGAATAATATAATAATTTATATAGTAATATAGGGGACAATCGTTTTCAATTTGCATTGTACTGTACAGTATATATAGTATGTTCCTGAAAAATGATGTGTAATTAGAAAACTAGTAAATCACAAAACTAATTCTCCAGGAGAGCACATGGATATTGGTGGGATAACGTTCCACAGTTTACTCCCAGCCAGAAAAACAACTACATATATTCGCTCATGTAAGTTGTGTAGCTGTACTATAAGTCATTTCTAAACTAAATTTGTGTTCATGTTTAGCTGTTTCATAGAAAATGTGAAGGGAAGACTTGTTATTCATGGGCAGTCAACGGTGTCACAAATCATGAGTCACCTGCGACCCCGTATTGGTTTAGAACTGATGGATGAATTTATTACATGCTTAGACTTTTCTGATTGTCCTCCATTATTTTTTAAAATGATTTACTGTAGCAATGTTTCATTAACAAATTCTTTGCATTTAATTTAGTTTTTATTTTTTTTACAGACTGCAACAGTACTTTGTTTTATCTCACAGCGTATATTGTCTCGAACACTCCCTCAACTTGTCTGTTGCTGACTGTGGCCAAGAGTGTTAAGGTGAGAACTTATTTATTCTAAATAAAGAAAGGGTACATATTTTTGAGCTGTGCCAAATTCAGAGCACATAAATAAAGAAATGCCTGTACTGAAAAGGAATAAAATCATTATTTTATGTTAAGGAGAAGCACTTTAAGATATCGCATGTGGTCGCTGGAATATTGACATATTTCAAGGGAGTGGGCAAGAATGTACAGTAGTTAGGTGTTTTGAGATGGGGACTAGCATCATAAGAAACAGGATCAATTTTTGCAGCTTTGGAATGATAGAATGTATACTTTTGCCAAAGTAAGTAGAAAATACAACAGTAAATTCATCAATAAAAACTCAAGGGCAATTTGGCTTTTGTTTCTGCTCCTGAAAATAAGGTCTTATAATGTGAATAAGCTTGTAATGATGCCTTAAAATACCTTGAGTCTTCTCTAATCCTTTTCAATTATTGTTCACCTACGATTTTCTGACAGGCCTCAGAGAGAAGTCATTATCCCCTTTCATTCAGAATACTGCATGCAATCAAAGAATGTCCTGCAGCTAACATTTTTCTGTTAAACTAAAACTCACTCTTAAAGCACTGGAATCCTCTAGTTGCACAGCTTAACACTTGAGCTAGGTTTTAAAAACTTAAACAGTTTTTGTTATTTCCTGATGTTAAAGAAGAAATATACCAATGTAATATGTAAGATTTACGAATCGGGTGCCGAATGTGAACATCTTTTTCCCTATGAATAATACCTGCTGTTTGTGCCTTGATTAACTAGGGATGTGAATCTTTCATTTACTGTATACAGAGCCAAGTCATATTACAAAAGGCAAACATACTGTACCAGAATTTTGCATTCCTTTCTAAACAGTCACATGGGCCCTATTAAAATATCTGAACATCTGCATAAAGGCCTGTACTATGGTGTGCACAGGCCATGTTATTAGGTACAGCTATGTTTGCCTCCTGTTTTGTGCTTGGTGATGTTTCATATGCATGCAGTATGTTCTCTCAGTGGTTTATGAACACCCATTTGCATAGGCTTGCTAATCTGCAACATTTGTACTTTTCCTGCATTCAGGATACCACGACAAAACACTGACCTTTTAAACACAATTATATAGTAAAAAAGGAAGATGGGTGGTTAACAAATACTTTCATTTTCAGTGTTATTGGTTTAAAGGTGAAGAACATGTTTTAAAATTGTTAAGCCCTAATTTATGGATAGTTTAAGTGGTCAAAATAAGCAAATGACAATGCCCGACTTAGATTTAGAAGACCAGTATTTTTTTCCACAATATTTTGTGGTTAACAAAAAACTCCTAATCATATTCCAAACCAAGCGTTGACATGCAGCATAAATTAAAAGTACTTGTACAGGTACTGCAGCATAAATTCCAGCCTCATGAGTCTGTGTATTAATTGCTCTCAATGTACTGCATCCTGATAACGTGTGGGGGGTGCATGTCAAAAGAACAGCCCTTTGACGGGCACCAGAAACAACTGCTCATTTCCAGGGTCTCCTGCAAGCTACAGGGAGCTCTTGTCAGACCTGCACTAGATCATTATTGTCTGGTTTACCAAGGCACTCCACCTTCTTCAAAAAGAGCCAGGCTTTTAAGAAGAAAGGCTGATTTTGGAGTCACAAGAACTTGTAGAATACACTTAAATGCTAGAGCTAACATAAATGGGACCAGTTTTTTAACCTTATAGTCTTCCCTTCCCTGCATTGCTAAAAAATAATAATAATTACTTTAATACAAAGTGGAGATGGTCACTTTTAACCTAAGCACTGTTCAGAGTATTTATGTCAACAGTTTCTGCATCAGCAAGAGATTTCACTCACTAACTGCAAATGTAGAATAAAATGATTTTTTAAGCCTCCTTGAAAACACTTATGTTGCAAATTTATTGAAGGATTAGGGACTTGAAGGGCAAACATTAAAATCTTAGATTATAGAATAGATTACTGTACTATCACGACTTGTGCTCTTAAGCAGTTTCTTTAAACAAAGCACTGTCAGTCTCCAACAAGTTTAGAGGATAGTCATTCAGATTGATAGACAGGTTGAGAATGACCCCAATTCAATCTTCATTCTCAGTACTTAGGGAGATTGACATTTCCTAATAAGGTGTATTAATAAATCATTAATTTGCAAGCAAAGGAGGAACTCAGCCAAGAATATAAGCCAATAACATTCTCAGACTTCAGTCTCAAAGGCAGGATGCCCAATTCTGCTTGGAAGTGCAAAAAGAGAGTTAAGAGCCACATCAATCTATGTTTTTTTATTCAGTATCCAACACTTTTCAGTTTAATTTAAAATGGAGAATAAATCTGCAGCTTAATGTCTATAAGTTGAAGTAATGATTCATTACACTAATGAGAATGATTAGTTGTAAATTGCTTTCAGTACAAACAGGTCCCATTTGGAATCAAGGTAAACAATTTAAGTTGTTTAGAAAGAAAAAGAAAAGACTAGACTAGAAGCACATTACTTTCAAGGTAGATCTTAATGCTAAATAATTCACATAGAAAAAAAAAGCAAAAAATAAAGTCAAAGGAAATCAATATATCCAAGATATACTGTACAGAACATATTTAAATTGTGGGTTCTGAACATTTGGTACAACATTTATGCTATACTAACAAATAGTTAATAATTACTTTCTGAATACTAGAATACTAGAGACATAATGAAAAATCTTCTTAGTGAACAAACCTACTAAATTGCCTATGCAATATGAAAAGACAAACTCAACAGACATGCTTGTTGCAGTGATGGTTCAGAAAAAATGTTTCAAACACAATTAATAAGTACTAATAACTGTATCAGATTTTATATTCTATACTGCTTTTCCCCTTACTTACTTTTTCCAGTAAGAGTACTTACTTACTCTTACTCTTACTTATTTACTTTTTCCAGTGATATTATATTTTAGTAATATCATATCTAAAATAAATCACTGACACATAAATTATTTTAAAAAGGCACACATTCTTATACACATCATAATTTCCCAGACCTCTTTGTTAAATTAAATGCATTGTATGACATTTGTCCAGTATATGCATCAACATACGTAGCACATACAATAGGAAAACTGCTCGTGATTTAAATTACCATTTCTTAAAAGAAAACTGCAAGGAAATCATGCAGATATACATCTGCATAAAGCTAATGAAAATCTGCTGGCTGTTCATGATATTTTTTTTTAAACATTCTGATGTCTGGGAGTTTTTGCAGTCCAGGCTTCAGGCATGGAAAGAAGTCTTTCTGAGACTATTTTTCAATAGACATGGTTTTACTCACATCTTTATTAGTAAGATACAGTACATGCACGTCGTACTCCCCATTTAAAGCATTCAGATATCAAGCCACAGAAAATGCACAAACTGAAATGTACTAAAATCTCACTGAAGTAACAAGATTCACGCAAGCATAAAGAGAATTTAGAGACTTCAGCGAACAGGGGCCATTTTGTAGATGGACACAATGCTTCAGGGCTCTATTGGTAGACCATGACTTAAGCTTTACCAAAGGATCCAAATGTAATATACAGTTATTACTACCATTATTGCACGGATAAAATTTCTTCTGTAGCCTAAGGCGCTACATTCTACCAATTGCTTTCAACAATGAAGTCACTGTGGGGTTTATCATGTTTCAGATTTGATTTTCTTGTGACCAAAATACATTAAATTAAAACAATAATCAGGTATAAAGCTCTGCAGAACCATTTACTTTTATTTTTTCCTACCTTATAATTAATAAAGATTATCACTCATTACATTTCAGTTTAGGATTTTAATCTTCCTCATCTGTTAACTCAACAATTAATAGTTGCGTTTTGCCAAAAAATAAATTACAGGTCATGCATAATGCATGCATTCTGAGATTTTTTTGATGTTTTCTGCTGACAATGACTAATTTCCTCATTTAAATCAGTGTGTTTCCAAAACTGTTTGGAACAGTATTTCCTATTTGATCATGCACTTGTTATTAATTCAGTGATTTTCATTGCAGTTCTCATGAGAGATGATGCACAATGATGTAGGCTACAGAACACCATCTTTTTGTTTTAGTCTGGATCACATTGGTCTGAGGTCTGACTACAACTATTTTCATATAAGAGCACAACAAGCTCTTCTGTAAATCTGAAATAAAATGGACTTATCACATTAAGAAGCTAGAGCCCTGTCTAATCCTATCATTCAGCATGTGTTTGATCTGAGTCACCTTTTTCTTTGGTGTGAATACATTTTTCTTTCTTTGAAATTATGTAACCCAGGGTAAATCACAAAACAATATCAGCACTAAATGGTTCCCTTCTCCAGTTACCAGCTAAAGGATCCTCACACCACACTTACGACAGCTATGATAGGATGTCAAGGATGTCAAGGCCATCTGCCACCTCAAATATACTGATAATGCCGATCACATATAGCACCAGTCCTCAGACCAGAATGGACTTTTGTCAACGACATGTTGGACAACATTGTGTGAGGTTATGACAGGTTGGGAGCAGGTACTGTATATTCAAAAGATCATCATTCAACGGCAGACTTTAATTAGTGCAAATCTTTTCAATTAATTAAAATTAATTGCACCCCCACTACACATTATTAGGAGGGGCAATATCATCAAATGCTGGTATCCATGGAAAAAAGCCTGCTAGAAAAATTCCAGAGAATATATGCATGACTGAATGTATAGTAATAGCACATGCCAGGTTTGCTGGCAACTGACCCCCGAAAAGCATGCAATATTCTGCTGCTAAATCTCAGCTTTATTCAGTGTCTGCTTCTCTGTCTATGCTACTATTATCACAAGGTCCTTTTCCCAAGCACCAAATTTGTTTTCCTTTCTTTTCCTAGAAGGACCTGACTTGTACCACACTTGTTACAATGTTCAGTGCCTTTGGAAGTTCATTTAATAACAGCACAATACAAATCAACACGACATAATAAAATTGTTCTATTCTCTCCTGAAGAAATTTTCCAGACAGCTAAAAAAAAAAATAATTAAAGTAGATAATGGGCTGGAGTTGCAGGGACAAACATCTTTATTATTAAACAGCAAGAGGTTTCTTTTGTATGAGCTGCTGTTTTTGCTATTTTTTTGGCAAGTCTTACCTCAGGTGTTTTTTTTTCCACAAGAGAACATTTTTCTGCGTACTTACTTTCCCAGTGCAAAGCACTCCAATTTCACAGTTACTCCTTTGGCAGCAGTAGCTATGAGAGGAAAATGCACCTCGATTTTTGGCTCATACTCTCCCATTATACCTGAGAATAAAAATGCAACAAAAAATAAATAAGAAATGGTTAGAAATCCAAAACATGTACAAGTACAGTGGAGATAAGGTTCATACACATACAGTATTCTGTATTTTGTTGAGATGCAGATTAATGAAGTTCTACAACAGTTAGAAGCACCTATAATTTACACACAATAGTACTACTGCACACTTCTGCAGATCTGAAGGCAGCATTTTAATTATTAGCTGATCGTGTACAACACAAACTGCTGTGGTATACGATATGCAGCACCTGGAGTACTGTGGTGTCAAAAAGCCTGCAGAGGCACAACTCTTCTGGTTGGCAGTTATATCACACTAAATCATTCAGCTAATGAGCCTGCCTGTTATTCACACTATCTGCGTCTGCTGACTCTGAGAATTCCATCTTGTTGTCTCTTACCATTGGCTCAGATGAACACAAGCTCATTAATAATGTGTGTTAAGAGATGCTCCGGTTCAGACTAGGGGAGTTGCCTGTTTGTGATCCTTCAATAAATGAGTCAAGTTGCTTTCCAGAAAGAGCTTTTCTTTACAAACTGTATGGCTTTGTCATTTTAAAAAGGTCCCACTTCAAAGGTTTCAAACTGGTCCTGAAGACACAAATTTAAACACTTTATACCTTACTAGAATACTCAGTAACTTTCATTGCTTTTGGAGTTGATTTTTCTTGTCATTGTTTTCTATGGTGTGCAATCATGGACCTGAAGCAAATCTCAGAAGGAAGGAAACAACTTGCTTCTACTCAGGTGAACATCTGTTCAATAATAACTCCCATTCCATGTAATTTGTGCAAACTTGTAGATTTGTATGTAGATATTTCCTATTTGAAACCGTTTGCTAAAGAAAAAAAAACTATTGAAGCAGATTATAAATACAAAGATGCTAGTAATAAAAATGTGATGTGTATAAAAAGTGGATGTGTATAGAATTAGCCTCTCATCCAAGCCTATTACAGTTAACCAGTCTCCACTTGTCATTTTTAGCTGACAGACAACACAAATGTCCCTAAGGCAGAACTGTCTCCCTTCTTCAGTAATCTGTTGGGCACTTACATTAATTCACAGCATTGCAGAAAAAGTTCTGTAAGTGGATCCTAGTGCTGAGGTATGGCTGTTTACTCTTAATGAAGCTTAAAGTAATGCATGCTCTGCATCTATTGAACACCATGCAAACCAACCTCTTATCTAAAATAATGTTAGAATTAGCCTACAGAAACCAAAATGAGCAGAGACAGGGACAACATTTTACAAGGATAGTATATGTAGCATGACAAAACCTAATTGACCCCATTAAATACAGCACTGGAAAAAATGCCATGTCGGTAGTAGTTTTCTGTAAGTCTTAGCAGGAGGATATGCTTCCATTAACTGTCATGTTTTTTACAGAAAATCAGTATATCCATTTTGAAGCAAGCAATCATATAATTTGGCATTGTTCAAATAAACAGTCCTGGCGTATAATGTGCCACTGCATTGGAGCCAGTCTTTCTTCTTTCAGAGGCCTGTTGGAATTATGATAATGAATAAGATGAGCTTGATGCTTATTATTTTTCCTGTAAAAATACAGCACAACTTCTTATGCACATACATTTGATGATGTAAAACACGTCAGTAAACAATTTCAAAATTGCTTACTTTTTCCATTATTCCATTGTCCATCTAAGCATCACACAGCTGTCAAACTGGTTGTCTAAATCCTTAATTGCCAAGTGCATGTTCTTCACAGTCTACAACACTCCAGTATTTACTGTACAGTTATCAGTGTATCATGTACAGTATTACACACGGTTAACATTGACGTTGCCATCATATTCATTTCATTTTCATCAATGACGCAAATATGTGATATAAGCATGAAAAAAGTGTAGTTTTTGTATCATTTAATTTTGTCATTTTTTCCATTTACAAGCTCCTATCATTGTCAAACAATGTCTATCATTGTTTCACGATAAATCCAGTAAAAGTACCATACAGGGAGGTTTTAAAATGTATTTTTTCAATGCAAATTTCACCTTTCCAGTCCCCTTCTTTAAAGCAAGTGTTAAATATTTCTACTTTCACAAATTCAAGGAAAGATTTAGTATTAAAATAGTTTAGAATGTAACACATTCACAGAACATTATTCACAGAAGGAATAGGAATTCTGATAGGAAAACTAACATGAAAATAACTTACCTAAATACCTACTTATTCTCACAACTACTGTACTGTACATTCAGCACATTTATTGATGAAAAAGGAACTAATAACAGGTTTTCATACAGAACGCACATATCTATTTCTTATGTATTCAAATGAATGTAATGACCTCAATTGTATGCATGTATTGAGATTTTCTATTTTTTTGCATTTCCGTTTTCTGTAAAACAGATGTTGTAGATGTAGGACGACTTCACTAATTAAAAAGAAAAGCTTTTAAACTAATTCTGGAGAATGTAGCCATTATTTCAGGTATGGTTTTCACATCAGCAGTCTAATGGAACTTAGAGACTGAAATACATTTCAATCTGGTAGTCATTAGTGGAATACACTGCTTTTTAATGCAGACTTTTAAAGTATATACAAAAAAGGCAACTGATGTACACTGTGAAAGAAGTTATTTTGCTTCTCTAAATACTGTAAAATGATACATAATATTGCAGTGAATTTCACATATAAAAGATTAACTACTGTGTCCTGTTATTTTTGGCTTAAAAATTGCCTTCCTATTCTTACCAAGATTACCTCCACTGATAGCTTTGGAAAATACAAATCTGTCTTTTCTGTGACAAATTAAAATTGTATTAGTAAATGTTTCTAGTTCTGCCCTGCCCTTCAATACAACATATCACCCAAGTTCCATCATTTTTCAATTTAAACATATTTATAAATAAATATATTTAACAGCAATTATATAACTCTTCAAACCTTTACAGTGTGTCATACATGTTTTTATCTTCACTTTACAGAGCTTATCTTACACTAATGCTGAACCTGAAGATTTTGCACCACACTTAAAAAAAAGTTTAAACGTGGGAAATAAATATGCTAAAACATTGCAGATTCATACAACAAACAGTTGTTTGATATAGCAGGACATTAAGACTGCTCTAGTAATCTGTGTCAACTATAAACTTGTATGCCCTTCAGTTTGAGTTAATTATAATGCAGCAAATTCTAATAGCACCATTTTAAAAAGAAATTATTGGCAATTTCTCTCTGAAAGGCTAATAAAGTTTTACAGTCTGTGCCTATCTACACCGTTGGAATTCTAATGGCAACTACAGAAGAGCACCTTTCATTCAAACCATTTTTTAGCTTTGGCTATGCAGCATCAACGTATGCATAAATGTTTAGGAGCTGAGAACAGCAGAAATGTTCCTGTTGGGGAATCATGCAGCACTGACTAAGTGTGGTTAAAGCCCAACAGCCAGTTGTGATGGAAAGTAAAGTACCTGTACCTATCTCCACAGCAAACAGCGTCAATATAGCTATGGGGTCATACAATCTTATTTTCAGATTATTTGCCTATTGACCACATTTCTTCAATTATCTCCAATTTCTTCAATTTGAACTGCAGATAAACCTTGTTGGTTGCATACATCTCTGATTGGTTAAAAAAATCCATGAATCACTTGTGACAGTGACAGTGACAGTGAGTGAGTATGTTATTATATTTTACATGCTAAGCTGCAAGTGTCAAAAAACGAACTTAGAAAAAAGAAAACTTCAATCTGTACAGTATGTAATTTTAAATATAAACACTATTAATGATAAAAAAGGAATACAATGATATACAATACATCTATATTAAAAAAATGAATATAATTGTTTTATATGTTTTATATAAATGACAAATGTTTTGAATTAAGTTTAAATTAACAGCAGCATCATCAGCATAATCAACAGCTCTAGCAAACTGTTAGTTAAAGATTTCTTAAGATCGGGATTAGTACAAACAAACCTCATAGTTTTTAAAAACAGAGTTTGAGTTACAGCAGGACACATGTAAACATGTGGCAGTAACAGTTTTTATTTACAGTTTAATAATGCACAAAGGCACACAATGTAGCTATAAGACCCAGCCCCGTTATGAGAGACCCACCTTAACTTAAGAAGCAATGTCATATAAAACTTGTAGGGCATTTTTCTCAAGGCTTTTGCATAAGAATACAAAGGAGAAGCAAGACTGGTTAATAGCCATGTGTAATACCATATTGGCCTTTATTTCCCTTGTGGGCAAAATGCCCATTACACACGTAAAACCTGCTCCATTGTCTTCTAAGGATAAAACCTAATAAATATTTTCTGCATATTTCTGCAAATATGTATGCTATCATTTAATTAAACTTTTTGAAGCCACATTCATTGAGCAAATTCCAGTGTTCTTTGCAGTATTTAGATCAACCTCTAAGACCCTCATCTGCTTTACTGCAGATACCTTTTCTCTGTTATTTATTGTCACTGTACCTGACTCTAATTACAGATATAGGCTTGTTAAAAGATTTAGTTATTTGGAGCTTTCACAAATGAAAGGCACAACATAATTCTGTATGGTAATGCCTTTTGCAGCTAGCTAGGTCTCCCAGAGGAGAGCTTCTTGCAGTGGGAGAGAGGTTATGTAAATGGTGAGGAATATAAAAGAATGCTGGAGGGGACATGATTCTATTGTAGCAAATAAAGGCAGAATTCCCTGTGAGGATACTTTAAAGGCAACTGGAGTTGTTTGGGATTCATTTCACAAGCACATTGGGAATGCCATTTAAAGGGCTCTGTAACATTGTCATTGACAAGCACCTGCAGGACAGATGATGGACCATTCTCTCTGTAATCAGATGAAAAGCTCTGAAATAAACCCTGTATTTGATCTTTACAGAAAGAATACCATCTCAGCTCCTTAGAGAATATTGCAAAAGAGCAAAATCCCAAATAGACTGAAGACTAATGATTATATTTCTATGCTGACAAGGTGCTCCCCTGTTCTATGAAACAGTTTTAAGCTAATTATTGTTTTCTTAGCTGATGTTCTTAGAGTGGTTTACCAAATGCAAACACATAAAGTAAATACAAAAAATAAATACAATAAAAAGCTGAAAAATAACTAAAAATACAAATGACAAAAAAAACAGGCACATTACAGATGCAATGCCTGTGTAGTGCAGAGAAGATGAAAAAATGTCCATCAAGCAACAAACAGCGTGAAAGTAAAAAAGCAGTGATTGCAGTAAAGAAGGGATACTATTGAGCAGAAATGGTTGGTGGTACAAGATAATGACAGAATGAAAGGGATCACAAGACCTACTGTACTGCATCTAAACAGGTGTGGAAATGGAGAGAAGGAAGAGTGTAGAGTTACCGGTAGCTAACAAGTGTTTCATAGGGAGCAAATGGAGGGATTGGTGCAGTTCTGTGGCTTCAGAGAAAAGAAGGAGGTAGAAAGACCTGGCTAGCATCAGGATTCAGAATGAGTAAGAGAGGGTTAGTAGCACTGGCTAGGAAGGCCAGCCAGGAGGGAGTTATTGATCAGGAAGAAGTCACAGAAGTGAGAAATATGATGTGACACAGAAGACAGATTCAAGAAGAAGGAAGAAAGGGAGAGGGGGTTGGAGTCCATTGCAATAGAGATGGAGAGGTCAAAAGAATGGGCAGAAGAAAGGAAGAAAAGGATGTCTGAATTTTTTAGATGTGTAAGTTTAAGATGATGGTAATTCTGGGTGACAGGCATCAATGTGGGAGAAGACAAAGGTATCAGAAAGAGTAGAAGAAAAGACAATTTGAGCATCATCCATATAGAAGTGGTATGAAAATTGTAGCAGGAGAGCAGAAGTCTCAGAGGGTGGGGGTTAAGAAAGAATAGCAGAGGCCCAGCAGAGAGCCTTGTGGAACACCAGTAAAGAATGAATGAGGTTCAGAGAGCAAGCTGTGCCACAAGATCCAGGAAATGTGATCAGAAACATAGGATGAGAACCAGGTGTAGGCCATGCCAGAGATTACCAGGTCAGTATGTGTTCACAGCAAGGTAATATGATCCCTGATGTGAAAGGCAGTAGAGAGGTCAAGGGGGATTCAAAGAGATGAGAGTTAAGCAGTGTGAGCTGACTGAAGGACATCAGAAACTGAGAAAAGAGCAGTTTCAGGAGAGTGCTGGACAATTTAGATTTGTTGGTCATCTAGCAACAAATACAATAGTAAGCATGGGAAATTTGGAGTTGGCACTATAAAGCATAGTTTTGGAGGAAATCCGACCTCCATTTAGTGGCTTTGATCACATTTTACTTTGCAGACATACACTTTATGTTTGCAGCTTATCATTTACACAAATAACTTACTAGTTTTGAGGACCTAGAAACCTTATAAACAAGAGTCAACCTTGCTTTTCAAGCAATAATCTGAACATTTGAACATTTACCTTTTATAGCAGTTATATCTTTCATTTGAATTGCATCACTAATGTAATATCATTTTGGCAGAGAACCATAAACTGTAGTTTGCTTTTGTGTTGGCTTCAAAAATGGAACCAATCAGTGCAATCAAGTGATTGAGACCATACATACTGTATCAGAGCCCAGAATAATCCTCAGTCTTAAACAAATTTTGAAAAACTGTCTCATGTCAAAAAGAATGAGCACACTGTTAATTATTAGGAATATACCTGTAATAAGAGCAGTGTTAATTCAGTATAACCATAATCAGCAAAACAGACTTCAGACCACAGGCTAGATATTTTACAGTACTTTGAAGAGCTGAAGACAGTTTCTTAAGAGGCAAAAAAGGGCAAGCCCTTACAATAATGAGTTCACTTCACTTCTAAGGAATCGTTTTGGTTTAGAAGAACTATGAGCATCTGTGGGAATTGTAAGGTGTTTTTAAAAGTTGTGAAAACTGGCCCAAATGAATGTCAGAACCTCACCGTCTGCTTTCAATGTCAGTGGTGTTGGTGGGCTCAGGACCCTCGCATTCGTCACTGTGTTCTTCACCAGACAGATGTAGCTGCCAACGTCTGAGGGCTGAACTTTGGAGATGTAGAGATTTCCAGTTTCCTGGGAGATGAATCGCCTGCTATCCTCTGCCACAAATGAGGGGAACTCATTAAAAACCCAGCTATATGTGATCTCTGAAAGAACAAGAAAAGAACAGAGAAAGGTCGCATTGTTCTCTTGTAATACTTTATACTGTATATTTAATTAGTTATTCTGGTATAGGAAGGTACCTGATACCTAATTTAAATATAGTTTTATGTACCTAACTGTTATAAAGCTTTTTGGCCTTTTTATTTAATTGTATTTCATTTAAGTAAAATAATCTAGAATAAGAGATATGGAATAATAATATAAAAAAAACAGCACGATAAATTTCTCCATCTTCCATTCCAGTCCCTCAACTGCCTACTTAGTTTTGCTCTCCCATCTCTCTTCCTACTCCCTCTCACACCTCTCAGACAGAGTATAAGTGTTAGTCAGAAGGTCAGTGTCCACTAGCAGCTGAGTAAACTCACCTAGTCATTTAAAAAGTGAGGCAGAGTTAGTCTCTTAGTACATGGTTAACACCATGTATATTGTGTACATAACATTAATACTCTGTTCCAATCCACTAAAATCATATATATGTAGTCAGTTTTGTTTTAAGGTGGTGACTATCATCCGAATAGTCTGTAAAACAAGAGTGTCAGCCCCGCAATCAGTGTGTCAGGGCAGTGTCTGCTGTAATAACAGTGGAACTGGATGACAAATATGTGCCTATCTACACAGACAGAATCTGTCTATCTGCAGTACAGTCACCAGCCATCCCAAAATCTACCTGAACAGCAGAATATCAGTAAGTCAGTGTTGTTAATGCTCAGTGACATAGATTGGCTACAAAATACAGTTTGCTTTACAATCCAGTCCTGTCTCTCTCAACCTTCTTGTTAAGATGAGCTGGGATCTTTTTCATGGTTAAATTGCTGATTTTTGCTCCTAATCTTTCTGAATTACAGGGTTCTCGTGAGTAAACCCCGGGAATGTACTGTGAAGGAATTAATACCATGAACAATTGTGTGGGATGAGGTGGTGGTGGTGGGGGGGTGTCATTTTGGCAATTATTTGTCACTAATATTAAAATGTTTAAAACATCTTTCAGTACAAAAGTCTTCAAAAGACAAATAAACAGATACACAATCCAAGCAGTAAAACAAACTGAGCAACCATGATATTAATCATTATCTACAGCATTTTTTGTTCTTCGGATAACCTCTTGGAGATTAGTCTTGAAGTATAACATGATATTAACAACAGTTACACGATGCTATATAGCATAACTCCACAGCAATAAAAAAAGTTATGCTGGATAAGTACGTTTTATGTTATTGATTTGAAATTGATATCTCTAAAAATACTCCTCTGATTTTAGAGTCTGGAAGCCTGCTTTAGGTAAATCAGTTTGCTGGAGGCAAATGACACAATTGTGTGTCCTACTTTATCATACAGTACAACAGAAATGAAGTGTAGTGTCAAGGCCAGCTGATTCAGAGGATGACATTTTGACAAAAAAAGATCATCATTAATTGTGTCTGCTTAACTCCAAGCTGAAGTCAATTTGCCTGAAGCTAGATGGCAGCATTATGAATACCAGAAAATATGTCAACAGAATATCAGGTGAAGAAAATTAAGTCCTACAGCACTGACTTGTCATCTGTCAAGTGTTCCAGGTTTCATTAGATATAAAATTAAGAAAACTGGCAGCAGTATAAAATAACAGGCAATCTTCAAAGTCAGAATGCCTAAGGACTCCTTGAAAGATGAAAGAGTAGAAGGAAACATCACTGTGGACATCAACTTCAATATACAGGGACTGCACTATAGAAAACATTTCATACTAACCCCTAATTTAAGAATACAGAATATGATAAATGCCGAGGATTGGTGAGTTCGGAATGGTTCTATTCTGTGCCTGTCATACAGTATTTAACATCATCCATCAATATTACATTCAAACCTTTTCACATTTTAGCTGAATTGCAAAACAAAATCTTCCACTGAATGGTTCAAAGGTTAAAAAACTGGGTTTATTAACCGGTATCTAGTTTGTATATTTGATGTAAAGACACTCTTCTCTCCTGAATATTACAAGAACATTCTATTGGAAAATTGCATTTTCTTCTCTAGACTTAATTTCATACGTATAATCTCAAGATATACTGTACATGTCACATATATTGAAAAATACATTGTTAGGATGGTTCTCATTTAATTTTTAAAAGATTAAAAGAATGTAACTTGTCATTCATAGTAGAAAGATACCGCATCAATTTGAACATAGAAAGCTAAATATTGTCAGACATTTTAGTATTTAGACTGCATTGCTGGGATATTTTAGGAGAAAGCCCCAAACATGTCTAAATACCCTTTGCAATGGTGTGGCCGTGAGCCAAGATGGCTGTCTGTTATTGAGAAAAGCTGCAGAATGAGGTACCATATAGCTGGTCTAAATAAAACATTGGCACTCAGAATGAGCTGGATTCCATATGAGGGAAAGATGCTATCAAGACAGACTCTCTGGGCTAATTACGAGATTTAGTCCAGACCACTATCTTGGGCTTCAGGCCTGGGTCAACTGATGCATTATGAATGTATTTAAACCAAAATGCATCATTGAGTAATTTTTAAGGTAAAACTGTGGCTGCAATCATCTTTTTTCGTATTCCAAACAAAATATATTGAACCTTTAGATGAAGGTATAATAATGTTGATAAATTGCATGAGGATACTGATTTTGATGGCTTCCAGCCCCAGTCGTCAAGCAGTGAGCTGTCTGGGGCAGCTATGAATATTTATCTGATAAACAAAACTCGTTTGTTTCTCTTGTTTGGGAATGCTCCTAATTAACTGTCAGAAGATTTTAATTACAATAGTGCCTTTTTAGTCTTGTCCTTTTATTGTTTGAATTGGGGTTCCTCAGGGATCTAACTTTGACATATCAGTTCTATTATTAACCAAGATAGTTATCCACAAAAATTCTCTATTGGCTTAAGAAGTCTAAAGCTGATCTCCTTATGGAATTAAAAACATGCCTTGATAGTTTTCTGAATGCATGTTCTATACTAAAAACAACATATTCTCTAACAACACAAGTGTTTACTTCTAAGAGGGAAAAAAACTGCTGCTGTGACAAGACACCTCTGATGAATCAGCACCAGTTTTAGTATTGCTCATTCTTAACTGTAATTTTATAATATTTCCTTGTTTCTTCAGTTAAACACTGTTTCCCACTGTAAGTCCAGTCTAAGTTATCATTTACATGTTGAAATCATTTATCCCCTCTTAAAAGTTTGTGATACACATAGAGTTTAGAAAGTTTACTGTAACACCAATATAAGAATCCAATTTTCAGGTAGTTCTTATGAGCATCATCTCTGTTTGGGTAGTTCATTTGCTATTTAAATCTATTTTTTCCTTTTGATCACTGCCTCCATTTCCAATAGACGCATGGGAGGCAGGAGGTCTAAGAAAAAACAGGGCTTAGGTGAAATGTAAGCTGTATAAAAAGTTGCAAATTTACACTAAAACGTCAAATTAATTACACACAAACATCAAATTATTGTCATTTAGTGTATTTGTTTTGTAATACAAAAAAGGAAGACAGTTGCATTTTTTTTAAGGTGGTGCTACAGGCAGGAGAGAATACAAAAATATGAAAACAAAGCATTCTTAAAACATGCATGTGCTACAAAGTGTACTGTTTACAATTTTGGTTCCAAAAATGATATTGCTGCTCTACAATAATAATAATAATAATAATAATAATAATAATAATAATAATAATAATTGCTTACACAGACAGCTGTTCCACTATCATTCAGGCTCACTATAATGCAGGAAGCTTTGACCAGTGTAATAATAATAATAATAATAATAATAATTGCTTACACTTATATAGCATTTTTCTGGACACTCCACTCAAAGCGCTTTACAGGTAATGGGGACTCCCCTCCACCACCACCAATGTGCAGCATCCACCTGGATGATGCGACGGCAGCCATAGTGCGCCGTCACATCACCACACACCAGCTCTCAGTGGGGAGGAGAGCAGAGTAATGAAGCCAATTCATAGAGGGGGATAAAGGCCGATGGGAAATTTGGCCAGGACACCAGGGTTACACCACTACTCTTTTCGAGAAACGCCCTGGGATTTTTAATGACCACAGAGAGTCAGGACCTCGGTTTTACATCTCATCCGAAGGACGGCGCCTGTTTACAGTATAGTGTCCCCGTCACTATACTGGGGCATTAGGACCCACGTGAGCCGCAGGGTGAGCGCCCCCTGCTGGCCCCACTAACACCTCTTCCAGCAGCAACCTTAGTTTTTCCCAGGAGGTCTCCCATCTAGGTACTGACCAGGCTCACAACTGCTGAGCTTCAGTGGGTTGCCAGGTGTGAGTTGCAGGGTGATATGGCTGCTGGCACAATCAAACCTTTTAAGTCTCCAACAGGGATATGATCGAAGTATATTCAAAATCCTCAAAGGATCTGACAAACTCAAGCCAGTGAACTTTTTCACTATCAACTTGGAATAAACTTCCCAGTCATATTGTCGAAGATGAAAAACTGACATCTTGTTCAATTAGCTACTAACTACTGTACCAAACAAAGCAGATGGCTTGCTCTACAAATGGCCTCCTCTCATTTGTAATATCTCCTATGTGTTTATGTCAACCAGAATTCTTCCTTTATGAGATGTTGATCTTACAGTATGTTACATGATACACTAGACAAACGTTACTAAAAACTTGGTATCTACAGCCAAGCTTTAGTTTTAACAATGAAAGACAAATAAAAGAGCCATACCTTTCCAACATCCAACAACCCCTTGAATAATTTACATTGCTGAACCCAAAAGATGAGATCCCTTTAAAAAAGAATAATATTACAAAGAGACTATATACTGTACATTAGATACTATGGAGTGTTTGCACCAGGGTTCTGATAATGGCATGAAGTGTACTGTATGTCAGATTATGCCATTGTATATAAGGCTCTGGCTAAAAAAACTTCATTCTAATTATTTTCAAGATGACTTGAAGTATGAAATTTAAGAACATTTTACATTCCACTGCCTCCAAATTGTTTCCAATTAGTCTCCCATTTTAATTATATACTTTTCTTAGTCAATAAACCATATTAATGTGAATAAACCCTCCTACCACAAATGAGATAAATAAAAGATAAATAAAACCCCAGGTCTCTTTTCTATTCTCTGCATCATTTTTCATGTTGCTTTTTTGTCTGTCATTATTTCTAAATACTCATTAATCCTTATGCAAATATTTAATGGAGGTCATTTATTACCACATTATTGTGGCACACCTTATGAATGCAGCATTTAATTGGTATATACGTAGCAGATTATTCAATATTTATTTTTCTTCCATTTTGACTTTGGGATTATTATCTCTTGTTTACTTTTATTCACTTAATATTGCCATTATCATATACATTTTTTTTAAATGGTTGCCAATCCTGGTCCTGGAGGTGCACACACCTGCTGGTTTTCATTGCAGCCGAGCTTAAATACTCATTTGAAGAAAAAATAGGTTGCTTGATGGGAACATCAGCAAATATTTTTGTGGTATTAAAAGTTTGGAATGACATAACAGGTTAAAAGACAACCCCCAGCATACCTACACTTGTGAGATGAAAACAATCAACTGGTTCAAACTAATACCATTAGTTAGTTAATTAAGGGTTCAATTGTGTTTTTAAGAGATTGATTGACCCTGGGTGAGAGGACCTCAGGACTACATTTAGAAACTCAAATCTTAGATGACTGGTATTCTACACAGCACAGAGAAATACTATGGGAAGCACCCCTGCTGTACTGAGCCATACTGTATGCAAATTGCCTTCCCTCCTTACATGTGCTGCCAATCACAAATGAAATATTTCTGTTAGAAACCTAAACCCGGAACTAGTTCCCATAAACAGTAGCAACATGAAGAACAAATAGCATGATTTTAAAGAAAATATGCTATTTGTTATTTACTCCATTTCTTTAATACAAGTATTTCTTTAAAGTTTAGATTAGCATATCTATCAGACTGAAAAAATATTTCACTTGCTGAACATCAGTGTCTAATCTTAAAAGCTTCTCAATTGTCAGTATAATAACTTACTGGGTACATGTTTAGAATTTAGCTAACAGCTGTGCAGTAGCTTGTTTCTGTTAAACATACAACCATAGAGATATAGTTGCCAGTGGGGGGTCTTTCAGCTACCGGAAACTCTCTGAACATTTCTAAAGGAGGTCCCGAGGGAACTATACAGTGGTTGAGCAACAATAAGAGACAAAACGTGAATATTTTTTTACCTCAGAAGCAGCAAAGATACAGGATATTTACTCAAACAAGCCTTGTCTGTAGCATTTTCTATTGATGGTTAATGTGCAGTTAGTCTCTGTTGAACATGTACGGTAGGTTCAGGGTATATATATTGTAATATTCTGTTTAGATGCAATATATATAAAACAGGATATTACAATGATAGGTGTATATTATCAAACAGCATACACTAAACAGAGTAGGGCTGATTCCAGCAAAAACACATATACAAAACAACATCTACAGTATACATGCCCAAAGGTTTTGTCTAGCAATCTCATTTATTGCACCACTTGCAGAAAGTGCCTTTCATTTACATTAAGTCTTTTATTTTATATTCCATCAGTGAAAATGAAATGAGTAGTTGGACAGTTTAGGAAGGGGATCAGAGCAGTGAGGATCAAAGATCTCTTTGAGCCAGTAGTTCCCCACATTAATGCACGGTACCTCCCCTGGTCATAATTACACTGACCTTTCTGTCTGCACCTATTCACAGGGATTCCAGGACATCAGAAGTCAAAATTATTTTTAAAGTATGTTCACACCTCCTGCCGGCTCTCAGTGATTGATTCATTTATTTCTAGACTTCATTCATTTACAGACTGTCTCCCAGAGTTCCATTTCATTTCTCACATCCCCTTTGTGCTATGTTTACCCTACTCTCTGATTCCCCCCTTTATTCTCCCACACACCAGAAGAAGCCACCACATTTGAACTTTTCAGCACAAAATTAACCTGCACTCCTTCCAGATACACATACTGTCTCAAAGGTATAACAGTATTGTCAAAACTGAGATGTATTTTATCATGATACATGCAGTAACATAAGGAATTGAAGTCCAAAGAAAAGCTAGAACTGATGCTCTATTTAGAAAACCGAAATCTAATTCAGTCCTGCCCCTGATGGAATTTGTCCCCCCAAAAAACCCAAATTGCCTCATGCAGTTATGATGTCCTTACAAGACTGTATGGGGAAATGAGGGTTTCTGCAGGCATTAACATGGCTATTGCTGTATTAATGCCAGCAGGAGGCACAAAGTGATTTGATATGCAGTAAAATAAACTGTTTTTGCTTTGTCTGAACCATTCAGCAATATGCTGAATCAGTAAAACACTTGTACAAGAAAAGAAAAAATCTTTGCAGGAAGACTGTCGTTGTAAAAAGGAGAAGTGAATGCACAGTGCCGTCACTGAGTCTACCTTTACATACAGCAAGTTGCCATAGCGAATAAAAGTTAAAAGCCAGTAAACTGTAGTAATGCACAGTGAGAACAAGGTAAATGCGGAGTGTATCACGTACCTGGGGAATGCGGAGGAGGAGAACACATGAGAACCACACCTTGCCCTTCACGGACTGATACAGCTCCCCTCGTCCGCCCACTGAAATTACCAAGGTCTGCAAAGAGAAGGAGACGCCAGACCTCAAACCAAAATATTGAAAAGTCTGTGTTGCATTTTATTTTTTTAATTAAAACAATATTAAAAAAAACGACAACTCTTACACTGCCGATGCAGTAGCTATACATTCAGATATTATACAGTCAACATTTTCTTTCTCTCTTTCAACTTGTCAGTGTGAAATTAACTTCTACTTGTTCCTTATTATACAGTTATACTATTAGGATGCAGAATATTAATGATGGTTGCAGGAACAAAGGGAAGCCGTTTGTTCAGATTCTGCTGGTACTTCAAACAGCACAAAACACTCAGAATCAGCTGCACAGAGTGTAATAAAGAGACTGTAAACAGGCATAAGAGTCCATAGGTGCTCTTCTGATACACTAATTAAATCTACAGTTTCAGGTTCTCCAACTTCAGTACAATACATGCCCTGGCAATGCACAAGTAACTCTTTGTAAAATAAAATCCTAATATTAGTCTGAAATTGGCATTACTAGTTTCAATACATTACCAGTAGCATTGATAATTGGTTCTACATTATTGATTCCCTTTAAAATACTGAAGACTATAAATTATTCAGTTCCTTCTGTCCGTCCTCATAAGTCATCTTTTTAAACCCTGGATTGAATGAAATATTGCTCTAATGCAACTTGATCCTTTTCATAAAGTGGGAAACAGAATTGCAGGTAGCACTTTAGATGTGGTCTATCACTTAGTACAACTGCCATCTCTTGGCTTGTATTTTGTATTACATTTTGTGCTATACAGAACAACCTTCTCTTTGTTTTTTTTTCAGTTAACTGGAGATTACACAAAAAAATGGTGATAATTTCATTTTGGCATTATAATAATTATTTAATAAAACTGACTAGTCATTTCACAAACTTAAAGTTGCTCATATGGAACAGAGATGATAAAATATATTTAAAATCAAATGAACAACCAGAATTAGGATGTACTAAATATCAACACACCTGTCAGCTGTAAGATCTATATTAATAATTACATTTTCTTTTCAGATATGAACTTTTGTTGAAGAAGGATTCACACCATCTTAAACATTAGGCATAAAGCAAGATATATGGATTTCAGTGTGAATTATTCAACAGTGATATTTATGAAAGTTAAATGAATTCTAAGGTTTTTTATTCTATTGTATTTTTGTCTCACCATGGTCTATTTAAGACGATATATATCAGAATTCTCCCATTCTAAGGATCAGTATATCACATGGGAAAGACATTTCATATAATGTGTTTCATTACATTTCTCTCTCTCAGAAATCACATTAATAATGAACAACTTTGGCAAAACATAACTACCTTCCACTTTCTGCACTGCACTGCAAGGAAGGGAAATGCAGTTGACTAAAAATGCTTTTAAGTAATGTCACACCCAAGTACAGCACATAATTAAAATACTTGAAATATAAGTACAGTATAGAGTAAATTGCTTAATTCAATCAAGGAGATGAAAAAAACACTTTAACATTAAAATGCCTTCATTGTTCTTAAAGCGTATTGTGGCATGAGAGTTTTATGAACTTTGGAATGTAGCTGCATTAAAAGTAATCTGCAAATATTTCAGTGGAGAACTTTCACTATCACTCATTCTTAAGATTTTTAAAATAAAATAGACATTTTGAAGCTCAATGAATTTTGACCATATTGATGAAAACTGGCTCCTGTGATTTATACATCTTAGCACTACACTATTTTTGTGTTAACATACAGTACCAAGAACTGAAGCATGTATTGTCAATACTGGAACAGACTCAGCCATAATAATTACAAAAGGTAGTTTTTAGATGTTGAGAGAGAGATAGCGACACAACAGAACCAGGAAATTGTTTTTTGCCTTTTGAAAATAAAGTTAAGGAAATGTAAAGAGCTGCAGGATTAATATGCTGTGTTTGGATCTTTTGAGCAGTTGCTGTGAGACTTCTCTGCTGCAGAGCTATTTCTGGAAAAAATCCAAACATTGCTGATTATCCCTTTTCAAGTTAATAAGGGCTCTTTTAATTTCCAACTGCAGCTCTGCAATACAATAGAAAAGAAATGACAAAATGTCAACCTGGGGCAGATTTCTGTGTTCTGTGTAGTTTTATTCTATCCCTGTGACAGCAGAATATTTCATTATACCAGAATGTTTGATAATTATACCTCACAGCACTTTAGAAGCATTAGTTTTCTTTTCTCTCTCTTTCAGACATGTTGAGATAACACCAAAGTTCAAGTCTTCATTTCCTAATGGGATACATAAAAATGTTTTCCTAGGGAACTATTTTTTGTGAACTTATTAGCATCATTTATAGTAGCATAATAATAAAAAAACAAGAAGCATGAACAATTGCAACCATTTCAACAGCTATAGCATTCCATTTAGCAACAGCAATAAAGGTCACATGTTTAATCCTTCCCTTATAATACGGCTGATATGATTACTTCACTATGTCCTCATTCAGTGTCAGTTCTTGTGTGAATATTTACTTTTTTACATACAGTATATAATTTGTCCATGTATTGAACAGTTTAATTTGATTGATTTACAAAAGAAATGCACCACCGAGCTACCAATTCATCATTTATTTTCTTACTCATTTTCCTCCCATCCAGCCCATCTATTGTTTCCCTCATATTGTATTCTAATGAACTCAGTTGGTTCCACTCCACATGTACTTGCAATTTTGCAAAGTTTCTTTTACATTTTCCAGATTGCTTTTATTGTAGATAGCTACCAATAAAGGCATAAGCCAAAAAACAAAATCAATGTCAAAATATACCTCAGAAAATGATTATGCCTTCACTATGCCCTGTAGGAAGACAATACTGAAGCATAATTACCAGGGTTCTCTGGAATAAGCTGTGACCCTTTGGCCCACGTAAAATTCCAGGGACATTAACAGCCTGAACTACATGGGATTAATAACATATTTCAATGTTATGAAAGTTTGATGTCTTCTCTTAATTCCCTCATGTGCTTAGATGACACTTATTATGGCATGCATTCTTCAGTAAGGGCACTGCTGTTATAATATTAGAAAAAAAACAGTCATCAGTGGCTGAAAACTGTGACTCTAGATAGGCAGAATTAAAAGTCTCTTTGGACTGTTCAGTCCTCAACATTGTGAAGCAGCAAGAACTAATTAATATTCATTCCCATAATTCATAGCAGATGTCTGCTCTTAAAACACACCATAAACCCCAAAGAGGTTTCTTGTGAGATATCTATCACCAAACCTCTTACTTCTCTTCCTTACTCATCATTTTTCTCCCAGAATTTATTGATGGGCATATACAGAACACTGAGAGCATTACTGAAGCTGCCCTGTTAACTATTGCTTCCTTTGTCATATATGGTATACTTGTTGCATCACTAGTTAAAATACATTGCTGTTTTATTCCTGAACTGTTTTAGTTTTTTTTAATTCATAATGTGCCTGAAAGATGTTCCTTGGAATATATACAAGGGAACAGTAGTTAGGTTTCAGGACTAACTAGAAAGGTATTAAATTCCAGATGTGCCACTGCTGTTGTACCGTTCAGCAAGAGCAAGGTAATTATCCGAATGTTTCCATGAATACGTAGTTATATACATGGGTGCAAATATAAGTCATTTTGGAAAAAAGTTTCAGCCAAACGAATAAGTAAATAAATCACACATACTGTATATAATATATATCACATATTAATATATTAGAGGTGTTAGTGGGGCCAGCAGGGGGCGCTCACCCTGCAGTCTATGTGGGTCCTAATGCCCCAGTATAACGACGGGGACACTATACTGTAAACAGGCGCCGTCCTTCGGATGAGACGTAAAACCGAGGTCCTGACTCTCTGTGGTCATAAAAAATCCCAGGGCGTCTCTCGAAAAGAGTAGGGGTGTGACCCCAGCGTCCTGGCCAAATTTCCCATTGGCCCTCACCAATCATGGCCTCCTAATCCCCATCTATGCATTGGCTTCATTGCTCTCCTCCCCACTGATAGCTGGTGTGTGGTGAGCGTTCTGGCGCACTACGGCTGCCGTCGCATCATCCAGGTGGGGCTGCACACTGGTGGTGGTGGAGGGGAGTCCCCATTACCTGTAAAGCGCTTTGAGTGGAGTGTCCAGAAAAGCACTATATAAGTGTAAGCAATTATTATTATTACACTGGTCAAAGCTTCCTGCATTATAGTGAGCCTGAATGATAGTGGAACAGCTGTCTGTGGTTGCCAAACAGCATGTGTATAAAGTGGAATTACAAACCTAGCTGTGGTTCTGCCTCCTCATAGCTGTGAAACAGCTAGATGGATAATGAGCACAGAGTTTTGCTCACTTGGTTACAATAAAAGCCCTAATTTATTGAACTAAATGAAGGGATTGTTATTGGAGTGCAACAGCTGGCCCAGGCCTAAGGAAAAGTGAAAAAAAAAACAATCTTTGTGTTTAGTGCTTTTTATTAGAAAATATAGACCTGGCCAGGTCATATTTTCAACAGACAAGCCCATCATCAGGGAGAAAGCCTGGTTCATTAAGCTCAGCCAGAGGAAGGTGATCTGCCCTAACGAGCTGTCAAACGTGCAATGTGATGGAACGCCCAGTAAACATGTTGTCACCAAGGCAGGTATTGATTTATCAGTCCCTGTCGCTGTTGCCTCCTTGTTCTCTATGTCAGCATCCTGACACAGCCACTCGTCAATTCAAAGGAGACATATGAATTATAGCTAATCAATACCTTCTCCTGTAGTCCAAATGAGAAAATAGATTTTCTTCTATTTTTTGTTATGCACAGAAAAAAAAAATAAAGACGGAAAATGGAGCCTGACAACCTGGATCTTGAAATTGCTCTAAGAGGCGAGCTGAGGAGTTGTGGGGATAGGGTTGTAAATTGTTGAGACAGGCTGCACCACTAAAAATAGGAGTAATTTATGGATGTGTCATGGATGAAGCAGAGGCGGCTTTTGTGAGGTGTTGTGCCATAAAAGCAAAATAGAGACAATAAGGCTGTCAGGTGTAAGTGTCAGAAAAAGAAAAGTTTGAGTAGGTACAGTGGACATTCTGCTGTTTGCATGTATCTCCAGATGCACCTTGAAATAAATTGTAAAAAATAAAACAACTCAGTAAATACGTGTTCACATTTATAAGCATCCTCATTAGTTATATTAAAACACCCCATTGTTGAAAAAAAGAATTTGGATACTTTTGTTTTTCAACAACCGAGAGAAGCATTCAGTAACAACTATTAACTGTGTGAGTAAACAGTGTAAATGAACAGTGAAAGAAACAGCTTCAAAACTGACCAGGAACCTCACTATTCAAGCCTTTTTTTCTAATAAAACTAATAAAATAAAATAAATAAATTTCATAGATATGGAAAGTGAGTATAAAGGAGTTACTGAATCTTACTGAATTTGCAAGAGGCAGTAGAGAGAGACTGGTATTTGAAGCAATTCATGTAGCCACAGAATTGGACAAAAGCCTTTGTACAGTATGTTTTGCAAATTTGTTCGGTTCCTCATGCAGTAGATTTGTAACGCCCATCCATTTATGTATAGTGTTGTACTGGGAAAACAGCTAAGCTTGGGTTGTTAAACTGCATACTATATAAAAACTTTAATTACAGCTAAAGTGAACTAGATATTTGTTCCATAAAGTCTTTTGTTGGTGAATAGAGCTCATAAAGCCAAGAACCAACCTGGATCTTTGTGTTACGACAGTATCAGTGTATTTAATATGCAGATATTTCCATTGAGACATCTAACCTGGAGCTAGGATCTTTCACAATATGTAATGGTTCATGACTTTAGGTGTCCAGCAGACCTTTAAGAGATATTATGAATTTCAAAGCTTACGTATTAAATCATGTTTATAATAGCATTGTTTACTGTCGGCATCCTACAGTGCCAGCACTAGGGGGGAAAAAAAACATGTTCTCAAAATTAAGAAAAATAAGTGCATGGTTTTATTGAGATTTAATGACAGAGTAAAAACCTTTACAGTTCTAGGTCTTGCCACCTGCATTTGCTATCAGAGGATTTTACCTGCTGATCTAAACTAACATAATAAGAAACGCATTTTTATAAATAAAAGGGAAAAGGCAGGTGTGTAGGGTAACCATATCTTTTCCATGTCACTGAACTGCACAATTACTGTACAAATGATTGTTTACAGCACAGCACTGCCCTTGGTGCAGTGCACATTTGCCAGCAGCTTTTCAATATGCAATAGACAAACACTCCACCTAACCTTTTCCATTCACCTGTTGGTCTTGAGGCTGAAGAACACGGCAAAGTAGATGTTGGGTGGTTGTGATCACTTTAAACTGGACAAGGAGGTCAGAGAGAAGGTTGAAGACAGTAGGTTCAAGCCCAGAAAGGGAATTGCAAGAACATTTACTTTATTAATAGATTTGTACTAAAAAAATCTTGAAACATTAAATGTAGGTACAGTATAGTGATGGACACAGATATTATTTTGATGATAACAAATAAATATAAAAACTATGTATTCTCAACTATATTCAGCCTTAATTTTAGAAAATAAACGGGTATATTTTTTAATAATAATTCATGTTTTTCATTCCTATTGTCATTCTGGTTTATTGGCTAGAACAAGCTGTGCACAATTACAGTACTACTATGTAATATTTCCTCCTCACTTTTCTACTTCTCAACAAATGTAATATATATATATTGCAACAATTTTTAGTTGCAAAGAAGGTAAAAAGTCAGGGACAGAATGAGTTTATAGACAACTGTGAAGCACAAATGAATTAATCTATGAAAAATATTTCATAGAGAGCGTACAGTATATGATCTATGCATTGCTGTGGTGATGCAGAAGATTGTTGTTACTGGCTAAGCCAAAGGAATAAGAAAATGTTTGCACTCCCATGAGTTTGGATGGGAAGGAAAGTCACATGGGTTTAATTTGCCTTGTCATTCTACGGCGACATCTACTTAGTAGGTGAGACATGGGGACAGAGTGATTGCTGGGGTTCAGCTTAGATCAATAGCTCAGCAACATCTGCTTATTAGATTTCCAGTTTGAAAAGGGAAGCTGGCTGGTGGGCTACATCCTAGAGCACACGCCTGCCTTCTGTCTTCAAAGTGCAGGTTTCAGCAGCGTTTAAATTTAACCTTCAAATTAAAAAAAAAAACAGTCTGTGTGGGGTTTGGAGGTGTGATTTCTATCGATGCTATGAACTGCTAGATCCTAGACTGTTTTAAAACAACGGCAGTGTTATTTCAGATTCCTGCCAGCCTGGCGACCATGAGTATGCTGTTCAAATTTAAATTGATAAGAATTGGCCTTTGGTTAGTATTTCCCTTATCTCTACAAGATGTGGATTCAGCTACATCTTTTTCTAAGAATACTGGATATTGAATCAATAAGCCCATGTGCAATACGCTTCCTAGACCGGGCATTTTGCCAACGAAAAACACTGTGTCTTCCACGTGTTTTGTCACAGACACCCAAGAGTCCAAAGCTTTGGGGAGACCAGGAGGAAAAAAAACGATCACAACAACAACAAAAACCCTTTCCCACTGCCTGCTAACTGTTATTTGTTATTTCATCATCTCTGATAATGAATCACAATGACAGAGGTCTGGCCTGTACATTGACAGCTTTCTTAAATTTGTCTACACGACATTTCTTAAAGTGGGAAGCACCATAGCTCTTCAAACACCCTGTAAAGCTTTTTCTACAGCAGGCTTCTACGGCAAAATTTTTTTAAAAAAATGAAAACATCAAATATGAAACAAATGTAGGCAACTGTTAAAGAAAGGCAAAAGCTATAAAAAAACAGTGGTGAGAAGAGAACAGCAACATTTACTATTGCTAGATAAATTAATTTCGGACAACTGCAGTACACATCTTTAACGAAGCCATTAGCATGATCTCATTAGATTTCAGAAATATGCAATCTTATAAATGAATGGAACAAATCATTTCAGTCCCGAGTTTCAGATGGTATACGGTAGACAGAATCAGAATGTTTTTCTTTCATTCTGATATTGCATTAGAAGACAGTCGAGCTGTGATACGGTTCAACGAAAGCAAAGCACACGTAAACATGGTACTGTAAGCAATAAACAGACGAGATGTAAAATTAATATTCGAGATTAGATAAACTGAGTATCGCCAAAGTGTGTATCACTGATTAATATAAGATTAGTAAAAAAAAACACTCTGTTAAAAATAATGTACTTATAAAAATACTATACTGTACAATACATACTGTGTGAAAACCTTGGACTAAAAGGCATTAATGAATCAGAGTAATTTCTAACACACTAGTAAAGAGGCCCCTCTGCAATTTCAATGCCTGTTTCTATGCTCTTTTATTTACTGCACAGAAGTCATTGTATGGGAGTGGATAAGCAACACCGACAGGGCAGCTCTCAGTGTACTGATTTCTGTGACCTGTGTAGCTCCAATAACATGAGCTCTGGGAAGGTACATTGAATGGGAATAAAAGATCCAAGCTCTAGACAAAGCCCGTAAAACAGAAATGCTAAAATGGAACTAAATAATACTAAAACATATAAATGTATGGCTTTGACTTTGCAGTCCTCGTAAAGTACATCCCGCTTGCACTGTGCCACTGAGGCAGCAATTTCATGTTCAAGTTTCATTTTCAAGTTTAGTCACATAGCCTGATTAAAACCGAGCTGCCCGTAGCCTCAACTGAGCGGGTAGCAGCATCTGTTGATCTCACTGGACAGCCTGTCAAAGCAAGATTTATTTTTGCTTCAACCCCTTTTTAACAAGATGGGACTGTATCAAAAAAAATAAATTAATGACTTTTGCAAAATGAATTTAGACAGGCCTACAGTTAATGAACTGTCCTGAGATTAAACAAGGTTGTATATATTTTATAATGGTTGTCTTTATCCAATTTAACCAGACATTTCAAAGAAACGATCTCTTTAGATTGGGTTGTCAATACTGTGCTTAAAATGTGGACTGAGTAGAGGCTGAACATGAGCATTGTACATAATACAAACATGCTTATTTCTGAACCGCTGTGTCACTCTTGCCTTTTCTGATGGAATGTGGGTAATTTTACATCTACTATTTTTGAGTGATATCTTTACAGCTCTTCAATGTTATAGCACATGTGCTATGAGTTTTACATGCACAGATTTTAATTATATTTTATTCTGGAAACAGATCAGTAAAGCATTAATGCTTAAAGGCATTCAAGCATATGTTCCCTGCAGTCATGGCAATAAGGATGACATAACCAACTGCTTCTAGGGAAACTGCAAGCAAAACTAGCAATACTTTCTCCACCAACTGTTCTGCCCCTGGCCTGTCTGTATGCTTCGTTAACTTGTGATGGTTTACTGGAAGACAGCCAGGAGATAAATGGAAAAATGAAACAATGTTTTGGACATATTTAGTGCTGAAGCTTTGAGTAAAGGCACCTTTGTCATTAATAGGACACATACACAGAGTTCTCTGCCGGAGCTTCACCAGGATGGACCAGCTTTATGTTTCCTGTAGCCAAATTGTTGTCTGTCAATTTACTTGGATTTTTGCTACTTCGATTTAACCATTTGTAAAATAGTCAGTTCAACTACAGTACTTGTCAAAGCTAACAAAAATGATTTGGGGGCTTCATATTTAACTTTTGCAAACACTTCTTCAAATAAAAAAACAACAAAAACAAACCAAAATTGCAGCAATTATGTACAGTAAGATCAATACCATATTCAAATGTAGCCTAGAAATCCATTTATACAGTTACATGAACAGTGTTCACATTTCACCCCATTTTTAGACCAGTTAAACACTATCACCACCAAGCAACCTATACAGTGAGTCACTCACATGCAAATTGCAGGACAGCATCCCTGCTGATGATGACACCAAAACTGTTGGCTACCAAGCACTGATATCTCCCAAAATCATTTGCTTCACTGGGATTGATGATAATCAATCTTCCATCTATCAGGCTGTAATGGTAATCGACGCTGATGTCTATTTCTGTTCCATTCATCAACCACCTAAAACACAACAAAATAATATTTATTGACTGTATATTCATGCCTATAATATGACCAAAAGTAACATGGCAAAAAGAAAAAGTCCAGAGGGTCACATTTTCATCGATCCAGTTTTTATAATCTGTGGATCCACCTTGTGTCAGCAAGAATATTTTGGGCCCTCGCTGATACTGGACAGCAATATTTGATTGGGAGTGGTGAAATATAGCTCCCATTTCTCCATCTAGCAGTTACAGGTTTATGTAGGAATGCTTGTCTGATGGCTTTTATCCACAGGCAGCATTTTAAAGCATCCTGCTGTCCTTCACTTCTCAATGACACTGCCCACAGTGGATACCGTTTTGCCAAAGGTATATGTCATACTGTACATGTGGAAAACTACTTTGACAGAACACCCAATGGGCATTCCCACATAATGTCAATCAGCTCTTCAACACAAGCATGCTGAATATAACAGACTTGGCTAGGAGTAAAAATAACTTGAATAGCTATTTTTACATTATTGTGCTTTTGACATGATGGCGCACCTGTAGGTGGGTGAAGGGTTTCCTCTGGCTTCACAGTTCAATGTCGCCTTCCTCTCATCAGAATCCAAGGCAAAGATGACATTGTCTGGCTCTTGAAGAAACACGGGTCCAAATTCCATACTTTCTAGAGAATTAAACAAAAAAAAACCCCCATAATTAAAAATGTCATTCAAGATCGAAAAGTCAAAAAGATGTAAAGATGCTTTTGATAATATGTAGTGAAACCATGCTGAATTGTTTTTTAGTACTCTTTAACTTGTTTCTGACTTTTCTAGTTTAATGTGAAAATCATGCAAGAAGATGGAAAAAAAAACCCTTTCAGAGTAATGGCTCTTGATGATAATATTGTTTGGATTAGAATTTTAACTATTCTAATATTCCAAACGTGTAAATGCTCAAGATGGATACCACATCTGCCATTGTTTCAGCATAATAGTGCATCTGCATTTCAAATGCTCCCCGACTCTTCCTATAGCAATGTCATTCATTTCACTTCAGCCATGTTCCAGCCCGCAAGGCATGTTCTCAGGCATTCCACTAGAGTCAGTGTGAATCAATCCAATTAGTATTGTAATGAGGTAGTCCCCATTGCTGATTCTCACTATGTAGATGGGATAAAGTAAACTTGAGTAAGGTTTAATGGCTTCTGTGGGTGCTGGGAGGATAAAATAAAATAAATACAATCTTCTGTGCAAAAATTAAGCTATCAAGCTATCAAGCTACAATCAGGTTATACAATTATCAATGAAAATGAAATTTAACTCTGGTATTTAATATTGTTAATCACACAAAACAAAGCATTTTTGTCAGCCAAAAGCAAGCAAACTGAAACAAACTTTCATACTGTATATCTGTACAAATTTAAAAGACTCCATGAATGTATTCTCAACGTATGACCTTGTATTCAGTGTTAGGGTAGATGTTTTCTTGAGGGCACGTGTGTGTTCATGTGAGTATGTAATAAATCTCCTACAGGACCTAAACTAGATCTTCTTTACTTCCAAAGGTCATTCCTGTTCCACTTAACAAGGTAATCAGTCATTCTGAAGAAAATTAAAAATAATGTAAGTGCATGGAGGAGAGTCAGTGTAGGAGATGAATGAGCATTGAAACCTGAGGAATTCTCATTGTTTCTTATAGATGATTATGTGACATTATTCTGAGGAGAAAAGAAAATCAGGCTGGCATTTTACAGTATAGCTTATTTATTATGTTTGTAAATAGTAATATCTAAACCAGAGATTACCACATGGCCCATATAACAGTTAGTAATTAATTGAACAGTACATCTCATCCAGTTGTTTTTTGAAAGAAGTTAGTGTATTGACTTTGATAACATGGCTTTGATAACAAGTGCGTCCTGTTTTTTGTTTTAAAAGCATTGTCATGTGTTCACATTTCTCTTGAATCCTCTCTGGACTGATTCCAGAGCAGATAAGATAAAATTGTCAAAATATTGTAAAAGTAGATGTACAATTTAAACATGACATTCTTTGATTTCCATTCAATGCTCTTAACTACACATACTAACATTTTGACATTTTACTTTCGTTTATGACTGCTTTTCAACATTGTCTAAAATATGTACAGTAAATCTTACTGTATGCTTGTCATTTTCATTAGCAGCCTCTTCTAACGTAGTATTTTCCATGTTCGATCTCTTGTTTGGTTTTACAACAAATCCTGCACTTGCTTTGTTAAATGTCATCTGTCAGGTGTTTGCCCATTCTTGGATAGAATCTTAATCTATTTGAGTTTCATTTGCTTTCATTTGCTAATTCTCCTTAATTTGGTTTTGCATACAAAGCTGACTAGTTTAATAGCTATGCTAGAATTTAAATCACGGATATAAACTAAGAATAGCAGCAGCCCTAGTACAGCTCCCTGGGGTACTCCATTAATTACTTTGCCCATATTGGAGCATTCACTCCTTATCTGTAATTTGTTTTCTATACATTAAGCAATTCTCTATCTAAACACATGAATTTCTCTACCACTCGTAATCAGCTAATTAATCTTTAATGAATAACTTTATCAAAAGACTACTGAAAATCTAAATACATCATATTGCTGATGTTATTGTACATTTCTTGCCCAAAGAGTTCTAACAATTTGGTTAGGTAAGACCTAACATTTCAAAATCCATGATGACTACTCCCTAGGATCTTCTTTCCATACAGGTGATTATCTACTGTAGTTAGTTCAAACTACAGTATATTGGTTTACATTTACTGTATACAAGTATGTCACCTGGAACAGCCCATTAAAAAAAAATACTCCTACAAAACAACCGAAAACATCATGCTTCCACACCTAGTTTATGATCTATCATAGTGAGACTATGAAGAATAATATACAGTATGTGCTAATTCCTGTTTGGCATCTATGTAAGAATATAGGACAGTTTTACATTCGAAATATTAAAAGTAAACAATTAAACATTCAGCAGTTATTCAGATGATCAATTTGTGTAACTTTTAGTCCTTGACATAAAGACAGACTCATCCTAAAACTGTACTATAGTTTGTTTTAGTGAAAGTTTTACATCCATGCCTCAGAAGCCGTAGCGCTATTTAAATAGAAAATGAAAGGATTAGACAGGTGAATTAATAACATTCCCAAATGATTAATACTTATAATACTAATACTAATGATATTTCCCTGTGCAGGACAGGTTTTATAATGCCCTTTGGGTTTGTAAAACAATTGTCAGGACAACAACATTTAGAAATATTCAGCAGGACACTTTTGTTTATAGTTTATGGCATGGATAATTAATTGCTTGTAAAAGGCTACTTTCCTATGTCTTCCCATCTTTTCAGTTAAACTGTCCTGACAATTCTACTGGTGCCTCTTCTTTAAAAGTCTCCACACTTTATTGTTATAGTGTGTAAAAGAAGGGCATATTTCAGGCAATCACATTATGTACTTTTCAGTTTGTCCTTGCATTACCATCTGCAGAAAGCTTTGCAGTAAGGAACTGGACACTAAAGTTATTTGAAAAAAATAAGCACAGATGAATGGATAAGGAACCTTCAGACCTAAAGTCTGAGAGATTTAGATTTCTGCCAGGTAATGCTTACTCATGGCTTTTCATGATTGTCATTTTTTAATTAAATATACCAATCAATTTGTTAAGTGCATCACAGCATCCTAGTCCTGGCATGAAAAACTGAATTTTGCAATATTTTCACTGCTTTTCAGAAATCTTACACCTTCTGAGATTAAAGAGCTCTCCCCTGCACAAATACTCCCACACATCCACCATATGCTTGATAGTTTGCTTGCTTCTCTCTAGTGGTTCCAACTACAATCTCCTTCCTTCCTGTGTGAATAATTTACACTCTTTATGTCATTGGAATTTCTTTCAAGTAAAACTGGGAAACATCTAAGCTGAAATAAAGGGTTTCTTCCACATAGCATGCCACTGCTCTCTTCTTTTGGGAGGTGTTAAGGGGAATTGTGTTATTAGCATGGAAAAAATAATAATTTATATTTTATTTTTAGCATAATGGTCTTCAGATGCTCATTTTTTTGTGTGTTTAGTTTTATTTTCATTTGTTCTGGGATACTCTGTATAATGCTTTGAAGTTCTTCAAAGCCTCCTTCTGTCAGTCTCAGCAATGTAGAAATGGGCTAGCAATGCAATGCATTTCTGGAAGGCTTTCTGTAAAACAGAGTGTCACCTCAGTTTGTTTCACGTTGATAACAATTTATTTCATAGTATACAGAAGCGGTTAGCTAGGAGAAGGGGAAATTATAGAGATCTCCTTTTTAAAAACCAATTTTAGTAGGTGCAATTTCCAACGATTTGTCTTTTGTTAAAACCAAAGTCTTTTTTAAAGAAACGTTTGACAACAGCCACTAGCAAAAAAAAATACATACCATTTAAAACTTATTCTTAAACGATTATGCTATTATGGTAGTAATAAAAACTAACTTTTGAAACGGAAATGCTTTCCCATCACACGAAGAAGAAAAATAATAGAAAGGACAATGTTTACAGCTGAAGCCAATATTATTCCTCACCATTTCAAAATGACCCAAAGACAAAAGCAGGCCATGTCACCTCTACAAGTTCACCCTCTTGTAATCTCATCTCTTGTCAGCAAAATACTTCTCCACAGGGAAATAAAATGCTCCCTAGTATTATACATAAATCACAAGTTTAGAGCAAAAAGGAATAACAATAATCTGTCTGTCTCCTTGATTCCTACATTTTCCAAAATAAATCAATGCTATTTTTTTATAGTCGCAACGTATCCAGAATTATGAAAACCTTTTCCACAAGATTAAAATATACTGTCATGCTTCAGAAAAAAATAAAACTATGTTGAGTCCTTCCTGGCTGCATTTATTGAATTTGAATCCAAAAAAGCAGCTTTTATAATTTAAAGGTCTCACATACAGTACCACTACTCTATACTGAAAGTAAGACACAGATTTAAATTGCCAAACAAATGGTGAAAATGACAATGTTTTCCACAGTGGTATAAAAAAGGCACTGTTATCCTTTGTTTTTGGGCTCTTCTTAAAAAAACTTCATTTGAAGTCAAATTCTAAACATTGCATTATGCATACACACAGGTGTAAAAATGCACTAGTAACTGCAAATGTGGAGATGGTGCAGAAGGATTTGTGAAGGACAATGTGGAAGAAAGGGTTTTGTGTTCATACTGTACTGTTTTTGTTATATTCTGTATGTATTCATATTTTAATAATGCAGCGCTAATAAACAATTAGAACAACCAAGGTCATTTGATCAAGTAAATGCCAGACTTTATCATCAGAGTACCATTTCTTAATTCTCTGTAACTGAGTTTAGATGAATTGACCACAATCTCAGATTAAAATGTTGTACAGTGTATTTTAGGATCTACAGTAGTCTAAACCTATGCAAAGAATTCTAGGGAGGTTACATCTGGACAGGTTATGGATGTCCTTTTAGCTTTTCCACATACAGTAGCCTGAACCACATTTAAAAATGCTCCAGATACTATACAGAAAGAGTAATGAGGTTTAGCAAAACTCGTTCCTTAAAGGGATAGTGTTAAATAAAAGCATCAGTTTGCTGAATATGGGGCATCAAAGTTGTTTAGACAATATATGTTTCATTTTAATCAC